TGGCTACTGCGAATTGTCGAGATGGATCGGGATTATGGAGGACAGGTTGTTTTAGGAAACACTCCTTGAGCGTTGTGAATGCTTCTTGACATGGTGCGGACCAAAGGAAGACATTGTCTTTCTTTGTCAGATCGATAAGGGGTTGTGCGATATCGGAATAATGAGGGATAAAGTTTCGGTAGAAGTTACAGAATCCAAGGAACGAATCTAGTTTCTTTAACAGTGGATGGGATTGGCCAATCACGAATTCCATCAGTTTTAGCAGCATCCATGGCGACGCATCCTGGACGAATAATCATACCAAGATATTCGACTTCCTGTGCATCAAAGGTACATTTTTCCGGTTTCAAGAAGAGTCGTTCTTCGTGAATTTTCGTAAGAATACGACGGGTACGAGTGTGGTGTTCATCAAGGTCGTCCAAAAAGATGAGGATATCGTCCATATAGATCACCAGCCATCCTTCATTAATTTCCTGTTGGAACGTGCAGTTCATGTAGGCTTGGAATGTAGCCGGGGAGTTGCAAAGTCCGAAAAACATGACGTTCGGCTCATAGAGTCCGAATTCCGTGGTGAACGCAGCTTTCCATCTGTCATCAGGGTGAATGCGGATGTTGTTATAACCGGATCGGACGTCCATCTTGGTGAAATACTTTGCTCCATGTAACCGTGCGACAAGGGATAAGGGAAGCGGCAGGGGATAAGCATTCTTGATCGTCCAATCGTTGATATACCGATAATCTTGGCAGGGTCGGAGATCTCCGCTTTTCTTTCCTACAAAGAAGAAACCGCTGGCTTGTGGCAATTTAGATTCCGAGATAAAACCTTTCTTTACGTTTTCATCAATGAATGCTTTGACAGCGGTTCGTTCGGCGATAGAGAGGGGATAGATTTTCGACGTTTTGGGGATGAATCCGGGTTTCGTTTCAATTCGATGGTCAATACCGGGTCGTTCAGGAGGTAGTTGATTGAGACCGTCTTTAGTGAAGATATCGGCGAAGTCGTGGAGATAGGAGGGTACGAGTTCTTCGAAAGTTTTCTTCTTCTGTTCTAAGCCCGCAGCTAGAGCGAACTGCTGAGCTTTGTTACTAACTTTCGCGTATTCCGTAGGCCGTGGCAAGGGTTTGACCGTGGGTTTTTGTTCAGAACGACTGGTACCATCTGGGGTCAATGGTGTATCCATGGTAGTGTTTGAAATTACCCGGAGTTCAGATGCGTCAAGGGAATATTCTACCAGGAATTCGTCATCATCTAGATCGTACATAGAGACTTCTTGCACTGGTGCGGCAAAGTTCTCTTGTGTCCAGACATCTTCCTTGGTATCAAAGGTCTCATCGTCTTTCATCGGGGATGGGGAGTAGATCGGGGGGTGAATCAATGGTGGGAGGAACGGATGGTGCTTTTTCGTCAACGATTTCTTCGATGGTCGCTTTTGGATAAACGACAGGGGTTTCGATAATTGGTGTTTTCCTAAGTTTGGATTGCTTCCAAGTCCGATCTATGGGTTCTTGTCAAAATAGAAGTGGAAGGTTGTTCTTTTTCCTTTCTTTGTCAACTTCTTCTTCAACTTGATTACTCTTTTCCGTTCGAGAAAGGATGAGGGTTTCGGCTGCCCAGTCAATAACCGGGTTCATAGCCCGTAGCCAAGGGATTCCAAGGAGGATCTGGTCTCTTCTGCCGAGACGTGTGACGTTAAACTTCCCAATCATGGTTCGTTCGTCAATTTTGACGGTGAGAACGCAGTATCGGCGTATGGCTCCGCTTTTGGAATAGCTTCCATCGGCGGTAGTAACCCGGAAGGGTTTACTAAGGGCGTGGGTTCGGATTTTGTGCTTTTTGACGAAGTCTTCTGAGATAAAGGTTCCGGCCTGCTCCGGAATCAACAACTGCGGTGGTTTCAACGGTTTTCAGACGTGTTTTCGAAACGAGGGAAAGGGGAACTCGAAGTTCTTTTCGTTCACCAACTTTTCGTACAAGTCTTATGGGTACATCGAGAGATACTGACGTTGATCCAGTCTCCCATATCAAAAATCCTCGTTGAGACTGACGGACTTCTGCTTCTTCTTCTTCTTCTTCATCGCTGCTTTCTACTTCTTTGCGGCGTACCAGAGTCTTTCCTTTCTTCTTCTCCGGACAGTTCTTGAAAAGATGTCCGGTCTTGTGACAGGTGAAACATTTTCCGGTTCGGAAATGCTCCGCGCGTTCTTCTTCAGAAAGCCGATCGATCACCATGGCGTTGGGATCTTTAGATGGTACGTATCGGTTGGATCCGAAGTTCTTCTTCTTCTGGGGTTGGTGGCGTGCCCTGATGGCGTTCAAGTGAAGGCGTGAGTTGTCGAGATTGATACAGGTGGAGAGGACAACTTCGAAATCGTCAGAAACGTCGCCCGTGCCGTAAAGGCAAGCGAGCAGTCCTGGGTGCAGTCCGTCTAGGAAGAACTGTTTCTTAGCGACGTCACCTTGAATTCCTGCCCGTCGCGTGAGCATTAAGAATTCCGAGATATAATCTTGGAGTTCGGTTCCTTGCTTCAGGTTACGGAGCTTGGCTAACGCGGTCCCTGAGGGATCAAGCGGTCTAAACGCGCTTTTGAAGTCGGTAAGGAATTCGGCCCATGTACTGTATCCTTTGACAAGGCCTGCGGTAGTCTTGTTGTTGGGGTCTTGCGCTTGTCTGAGGAAATCTTCCTTCCAGTAGCGCGTGTTCCCTTTGTTCATGAAGGAGGTTACGAAAATGATTTTCTGTTTGTCATCGACATAGATCTTCTCGTTGATATCGAGGTAAGACATGCACAACATCAGGAATCCTTTGGATTTATCTCTATCCCCGTCAAAGACTGGGGGAGATCCGATTTTGATTTCAATGGGTTTCGTGGAAGACATCGGGGGATTCAAAGGTGGTAGGGGTGGTACAGCACCTAAGTTCAAAGCGCCAAAAATTGGTGTTAATGACGTCAGCTTGTTTTCAGCTTCTGGGGACCTGGAGTTCTATCTGTCGTGATGACCAGGGTTTGTTCTGTTCTGAGTTACAACGCATGATAGCGATGTGTTCGTAGAAGACTTTAATCTTTTGTTACGAACTAGGATGGTTCAGACATATGGCTACTCGATAAGAGTAATCGGCCAAGGTCGGTTCAAGGCTTCGGCGTATACCGAAGTTCAATGTTCTAAGACAAGGCAAGGAGAGTGTCCTCGACTTGAATCAAGTTCAATACGACTTAAGATTGGAGGTCTTAAGTGAAGGAAGTTCCAGGTAAAACCTAGTAAGATTAAAGTAAAGAACTACATAGTACAAGACGAGTTTATATAGTGAATGGTAACGACTTTAGGGCCGGTACGATGAGATCATAAGACGAGTCAGAGATAAGCTGAGTCAGAGATAAGCCGAATCAGAGATAAGACGAGTCAGAGATAACAAGAATAGATCATCTAGCGACAGCAAGATGCGATCGTGATGTAATACAATGATATGAGAAGAGGAAAATGAATAGGGGTGTACTTGACTGTAACAGGTGTATGGCAGGATCACTGAGCGGGCTAAAGTCCAACATGGACGTGGCTGGTGTGGGTAATGAGGTGTGAAGACCATGAAGTAGTGAACGAAGGTGATCATAGTCGGGATCTTCTGCGAATGCCAGAGAGCGTTGACACGCATGAAACCTGTTTCGTACATGATCACGGACACATAACATACTCTCGTACAACCTAATACTGCCAATAAAGGCAGTTCTAATTTCTTATGGCTTTATTACAGTATACTATAATTTTCTTGAAGGTTTTTCATAGCTACATGAATTAATCATTCATATTACATACTTAGCACAGTCAACAAACTGTGTTAAAAAACCTTATCCTTTCATTAGTAAGCACATTCCCGCACCTTTTGGGATTTTCTCGTACATTTTCCCACCTAATGAGCCATATTCATGTTAACATCTTAACATCTCAACATCTGCGCAGTCATCATCTGAGCAGTGTCAATCTTCTTACGTAATCTACATTTTGTTTAATGATTAGTCATAGTTTCTGGACAGTTCCAAAATAGTGGTAATCTCTAAGTGAACATTTGGACACTGAGTCATAGTGAGTCACATGGAGTCATTATGAGTCATTTCCGTTATGACTCATACCAAGTCATTATGAGTCACTATTCCATATTTAGTAGTTGCATAGCCACCTGTAGAGTAGTATATAAAGGGACATAGTTTCCCTCTTTTGAATAATAAGATCCCTTTTTAGAGAGTTTGCGTATCTCTCAGAAAGTTTCTCACCCCTTAATATCTGTGTGAATACTGAGTGAATATTAGTTTATTCCCTCCACTCTTTTGTCACTGTTTCCCACGACGTTCTGACTACCTGAGGCCACCTCTAAGTCACATTAAATTACTCTAGCTAGTGCATGGTTACTAGTCATCTAGTGTAGTTTCACTGCAATTCTCTTTACGACACAGGAAATCAATTCTGTGGGGAGAAATCCACATACTTTAATGATTGAGGATGATAAATAGGACTTATACTTTAGTCAACAATATTAAGAGCTTGGCCACTTAAGACTACATCAAGAAGGTGTATTCTAGTCTGGACTGCGTCATTACTCATTGTGAGATCCTGAGCAGCAGAAAGGTCAGTTTCGAAGCCAAGTATTTGATTGATTCAACTGTATCCGACTCCTAGTTTGATCTCCCCTGATTGTGAGAATAAGGAGTATCCCAGAGATATCGCTCTGACTCACCACGTATCACTGTAATTCACGTAACTTTTTGTAATCTGCATACTGTCGCATCATTATCCCTGAAGAACCCTAAGTACTGCATTAAGCCAGTTAACAGGCATTGTTCCTGAGATTCCCGAATATCTCACCCCTTTTTTTAGTCATTGGTAAATTTGCTCAAGGAGAACGCAATCTATATTTGCACCCCCACAAATGACCACATTATCAACCGTTGGTATTTGTCTGAACCGTTGACCGTGGAGGATAAGTGAAATTTGGTGTTTTTATTGCCTTTCACATCCTAGTAAGACAGCGTGTGTAAATTAGGATAGTTGCAAACTCAACGGGGATGTCTTGACATATATCCGCAATGGTGGCACATGCTTTCCATTCGAGTATGGTAGAACCAGACAACTTCTCATCGTCACTGGTTAACCATGGAAGGGAGCCACACAAGAAATAGATTAACATATAAGTAAGTGACTCAAGGTCGTCACGACGACCTGGCTCAACTCCTAAGTGATTGTCAATAGAGGCGAACGCAGGAGTGCCAGAGAGACTTCGACCATGGCGAAATGGTACATGGTCACCAGTTGTGGCGTTCCAGTATGTCTTCGTGATACCAAAATCGATGATGAAGGCAGTGTGCCTCAAATTTCCAAGACCCATCAAGATGTTCTGCGGTTTTATGTTGCCATGAACATAGTTATGCGAGTGGATGTACTCAAGACGTGAGAGCTAGGAAAGTAAATCAACCTATTTGTAAAGACCTCAGACCAAACAACTCACCAACTGATCCCCTATGTTCACGACATGGAGAAGGCTGAATTTTCGATCGTTTGTGAGGAAGAGTTGGTGGAGCGATGGCCCAAGAAGTTCAAGAACAAGAGCATGATACACTGACTCTCTGCCAAACCAGAGGGTGTGGGGGATGCCAATTCCGCCTTCAAGTTGCTTCAAAATATGATATTCACGCTCTACAGAAGATGGGTGGTTGACAATAGTTTCAAGTTTGAGGGCAACACGATCATCATTTATGATGTTCCATGCGGAATATACAACGGCTAAGTGGTATATTATAAATGGATCTGAATCAACATGAGAACAACATAGTACACACCATACGAGCCAGATCCTAAAACATCTCCCAACCTAAATCTCCCATCCACTCGAACTGGGACCTTATTCATGGTAATCAACTCAATACATAAGTAGACAGTAAATCTGACCGAATAGTGGGAGCCTTTCAGCCTGAGATGGAGGGAAGTTGGAATAAGAAAATGAAATTCACCACGTAACCGCCACCAGGCTGGCTCAAGCTGTTGTTCCCACGTTCTTGGCTTGTGCTGATTTGTGCTGGTCCAGGTGGTTCGTGGACTGAACCGAGTCACCTATGTGTGACTTGGTTCATGAGAATCACCGAACTGCTGGGAAATCGGCAAGAGCGGAGCCCGGCCAGCCATAGCCGAACCATGACATGACTAGTATTGCATTTGCAGATCTTCAGGTTGGGTTGCACTGTCAGGGTTGCTGTTGTGGGCCTTGATCACAAGCACAGCTTCTGGATGAGCTGGAAAGCTAGGATAAGAAAGACTGAACCCAATGTGCCACCTCCCATCATTTCCCATATAGATGAGAAACCACCATATACGTCCTGCAAGAATTGATATAGTATCAGCATAAGAAGTACCAGTGAGAAATGGGATCCATACCTGCAGCAATAAATTCTATGCCCAATTCACCTGCAGTGCGCAGGCGTTTCTGGAACATCCTGATGCAGAAGCAAGCAACAAACTGGTTCTTGCCCATTCTATCCCCTTTATCATGCACCTGGACCTCATCTGGTGGGCAACCCAAAAAATGTCTCAAAGACTCATCCTTGGCTGATCAGTGCAAAATGAGTTAGTCAATGCACTTGGGTGAGCATTAATGCCTCCACTCACAATTGATAACATGTCCCAAATTCAGCTGCATAAACAATGCATGGTTGCTAGTTGACATGCATGCAAGACGCAAGTCAGAAGAGCAAACAGATGAGAATTGGGGGATGTGTGCAGCAAACACTGAAAAGGCTTCTCTCTGGCCATTCACAACTGCCCAATACATTGCAGTGTGACCCTCAATATTGGGATTTTGCAGGAGGTCAGAGAATTCTGCAGGGAGGAGAGCAGCAGCAAAGGTGTTGATGATAGGGGCAACAGGCATAAAATTGGGAAAAGAGACAATATCATGGATGTGAGATAGAACAGCCTCAGTCTGTTCAATCTTGGCAAGTTCAACCTGAGTCTGTTCAATGTTGGTGAGTTCCTGTGTTTGTTCAACCTGAGTCTGTTCAATGTTGGTGAGTTCCTGTATTTGTTCAACCTGAGTCTGTTTATGCTTGTTCCATAGAAATGAAAATAAAGACAATCGGTTGCCAGTGCATTGGACAGAATTTGTCACAGTTGATGATGCAGCGGTAGAAGTCTCGTTGTATGGGGGAGGCGCACTAGTGATGGACTTGCCATCATCGAAGACTTCAGACTTGGTAGCCATGGTGATATGGAGGGGTGGAAGTTAGGAGATTTCGCTTGTGAGGAATAAATATTATTGCGGAGCAACGGTGTCAGACGGATGACGTCATCAATTGACTATTTTTCGGACAGATTAGTAGAAGTTCCCGCTCCCAGACACCCACTTTAGTGGGGAGAGGGTTCTGCGGGACCTCCGACGCTGTTAGTTTGAAGAGTGCAAAAGTACAAGTGCGTTCTACCCGTCATACTTTCCTCGGTCCATTGATGCTCGATTGCATTCGGCTGCTTCAAATGACACTTGCGAGTCCTCCTTTCTCAGTACATTCTGCGATCCCCTCAACTCACGAAGATCTGCCATCATCTTGGACCTCTGATACCAGGATCCGTGTCTCATTTCAATTGCTCCGCTGTGTGCGCCGTGATTTCCTGATGCGTGGGTAGGATTATCAGGGCTCAGAGGCGCACGCCATCGTACGTTCGCCCACTGATCTACCTACTCTCGTCATTTCATCTAGTTCAAAGCACACACCCACAACAACAAGGCCCCTGCCAAGCTTCGTACCTTCGATTTCGTCGAACGCAATGGCTACGTCCGGGGTATCGTCAAAGAAATCATCCACCACCCTGGCCGGTAAGGATCAAACACTCACAATCCATTATTTTCCTCACATTTCTAGCAGTGCACCTCTCGCACGCGTCGTATTCCGTGGCCCCTACCGCTATAAGCTCCCCAAGGAGACTTTCATAGCCACCGAGGGCATGCACACCGACTCATTCATATACTACAGAAAAAAGGCTAACGTTACCATCGGTAACGTCCTTCCCGTGAGCCAATGTCCAGAAGATACCATCGTCTGAAACGTCGAGGAGCGACGACCGTGGCGCTCTCGCTCGTCTGGCAACTACGCAACCATTATCGGCCACTCGCCAGAGGCCAATAAGACCCGCATTCTTCTCCCTAGTGGTGCGAAGGATACTGTCTGGGGGTGCACGGGTGCACCGTGACCATCGACGACACACTGACTTGACCCAAATGAGCTCGAACCTGTGACGTGTCCTTCGCCAATCTCACTGCATACTATAAGTCCCTCTCCAGCACAATCACACCCAACTGCACCGTTCACTGGCAACACCGCCCGGTCACGCTTAACGCGCTTGCACCCCCAATGCTTCTCCTTAGGGGGATGAAGCAGGCAGAAAGATGGAAGGAAAGGAGGGTGATAATAAGCAGAGGGAGCTCAAGGAGAAGGTACGTCATTCATTCATTTTTTGTTTGTTCATTCATTTATGTCATTTGTTCGCCAGACAGCATCATACTTACGGCAGTGTGCATCGTTTCACAGTTGTACTCGTTGTCACCCACACGCTCGCATTCGCATTCACACTCGTGCCCTCGCTTTGTTTCTTTCAGCACCACACCATGAACACCTATGCGCCCTCATTCTTGCACCGTTCAAGTCATCAGCTGTCGTGGCCTCGCCAGGGCTTGAAATAGCGCACAGCACCAGTGAGAGGAGTGGGAATCAAGATGGAGCCGAGGGGGTGGGGATTGGGATGCGAAGGTCACCGGCGTTTGAGTCACAGAGGCCCACGACGTTTGATTCCCAGGTTAGGGGAGCGGGGGTGGAACGCAGACACGCAAACATAATGAAGGCAGGCAGTATTTGAGCCTCAGCCAAGGCAGACGAATTTGGAGACGCAAATGAGACTGGCATTCAAGTCTCAGCCAAGACCTACAGTTCTCGACTTGCAAGCAAGACCCACGCTATTCAAGGCTCAGGCAAGATCTACGATGCTCGAATCACAGGCAAGACCGCCTGTGATGTGGAAAGGCCCAGCAAGATCTACAGGGTCCATTTCGCAGTCCCAGTCTCAGGGATCTCAAAGGGTTGCAGTAGGTAGAGTGATGGGCAAGGAAGATGTCGTTTGGGAGGTGAGTCTTTCTTTCCCTTGATTTGCTTGTCTTGTATTTGGTGATCCAAGGGGTTGCATATGGATGCGATGCTGACGTTGGTTCTTGAGATCGTTCAGCATTTTTGGCGTTGTATAAATTTGCAGATCATTATTGTGAGTTATCCACCTTGTCTCTTCTCTCCATTCTATTCGATCTAATCCCTCACTCTCCAATCCCCCCTCCTGCAGCCACCCTCCGATACTCCAACCTACACCTGCAGCCACTTGCAGAAATGACAGCCCGCTCAGGAGAAGTCGTCCGTCTCCTCGAAGCACTCCGAACCGACATACCCATCTTCCCGTTCTCCCTCCTCTCCACCTTTGTCACGGTCATGGTCACTGTAGATAGTTCACGGCCACTTTACCTAGCTCACGGTCTCTTTACTGTACCATCACTGCGCCGATGTACTTCGACATGCACGGAACAGCTCGTTCGGATAGATACGGACTCGACGTCAGACTTGACACCCATACTGATAGCGGTTTCACCTTAGGTAGTACTTATATGCGGCTCTGGGCTTTGTATCAGCTTCGTCGAATCAACGCCAGTACCTGGCACTCACTCGTTTTTCTGTCACTCGCCGTCCTCGTCCGTCGAGCGCCCGTTACAACCTTCACATCTGCATTCACCTCCGCACCCGGACCTCATGCACTCGTCTCAGTACACTCTGGAAGCAGCGTGATGGATGTAGACGCGGCCTTGGGAGGATGTAGAAGGTGTGCTACCTCCCGGTCTGGGTCTGCTATCGCCTTATCTTTAACGGGTGCAAGGCATGCTCATGTTCCTCTCGCATCTGCACCGGAGTCAGGAGCGGTACAAATTCCTGTAATGGCCATGACAGCGGCTGTGGCACAGGATCAAGACCGATCGATGACCGAAGCGGATAGGGAGCTTAATAGGACCAAGAGGGCGCTTACGACTATGGCGGCTGCTGCTGCGTTGGGTGGGAATGGAGCTGGAGGGGGTGAAGGGAATGTCTGAAGATGAATGTTGTGCATGTCACACTAAAGGATACCTACCACGACACTGGACAACTCAACTATTAAACATATTACTGAGAATGTTACTAAGAAAATCCCGAAACCATTCGAGTCATCGCCGTAACCGCTCCAAAAAGTGGCCAACGCGGCCACCACACAAGTAAGGGCACCTGCTCCCACAACCACTGACCCAAGACAAATCCAAAACAGCCGATAGCAACACATCCACGGCCGGCTTAGCATATTCTGGAGTAAAAGTAAGTTGCAATGATGATGATAATAATATAGAAACATATCTCACTCGGATATGCTGTGCGCTGGCTGGTAACCTAGCCTTACCGTAATGGCATAGGCACGCTCCTAGGAGTGAAGAAACGAGGGAAAACGAATATGTACGGAATGCAATCCTTTTGTTTGTGCCAGACAGTGCGATCACGAACATGCCTGCCATTGTCGTCATGCGAAGGCATAGCCTGACGTGCGACTCCATCCTCTGAATGATTTCCGATCGAAGCGGTTGCCACTGGTTGCTCGCCGTCGGATGCGTGACTTCCCTCAAATGGCGCAACCTCACACCGAATACTGACCAGACGAGGAACTTCAAGCATACTGTTGGTTTAAGTTAAGTTTCCGTTCTGTTATGTACTTAGTAGTGCACATTGCATAGACTTACTGTTGGCTACCTGTCCCTGAGGCTCTATCGCCCGATCCAGTTCCTCCGCGTTTGCGTTTGCCTCTGCCGCGATTGTGTTTGCGTTTGTCTCTGCCTCTGCCTTTGCTGTTTCTTCTGCCACTTTATAGACTGCTGCTGCTTTCACAGCTTTCTTTTCTGCAGTCTCATAGGCGTGAGCTGCGAGCGCCGCGTCTTTCGTGGCTCCCGCCAGCGTTATCTGCTCATTGTATTTCGCCCATATGGCGGCGTGCTCTTTCCGTAGCTTTTCACTTGCGTGCCTGTCTGCACCTTGATTGGCGTCATCAGCTGCCCGCTCCGCAGCAGTACTGGCAGTATGCAGTGATGCCGGTGGTTGGACTTCGGAGTCCGAGTCGACATCTATCGTTTGACAAGATAGTGACATTTGACAAGATAATGAATGGCTATAGGGAGTGGTGGTGGTGACTACAAAGAGCGAGAGATCTGTTTAGGTACGGTGGTTTGTATCCCAACTTGAATATTCTGATCCAGCCGCTGCGTCGATCACGTGCAGGTCATTGACATAGGCAGCCAGCAATCGTAGGAGCGCTAGAAAGCGCCAGTCCCCAAACATCACCCAAAACACTCGGGCCAGCATGAAATAGGTATAGTGCACGTTGCCGAACATGATTCACGAGTGCATTACATGTTTTCGATGAGAGCTGTTGTAAAGTGTGCCATAGCATGACGTAAATCGACGAATACCGACGTGCGGTTCAGCTTCTCTGAACGGCGAGCAAGATCATCAACAGATGCTGAGATCCACGGCGAAGACACAGCCTTAGAGGCTCGCTAAGAGATACACTGGTGACAGGAAGAGTACACAGAGCAGTGACCACCACAGGGCCGTACAAGTCCTGAAACTAGGCAACAAGCGATGTACCCCGTGTTCCTGGGCAATCAGGTGGGACAGGTGTCGTCAAGAGACTCTTGAAGAAGATATCATCCAACCTGCTTGCAAGCTCTGTGCGTTGAAGTGAGTCGAGTCGTGTGCATGATTACATTGGCACTACGTTCCTTATTTCGTGCATCTGACCTTTTAGTTTCAACTCGCAGCGCAACGCCACGCAGAACAGGCGCGGACAAAACATGCAAATTTTCTGCATAGCAAGTATCCAAATGATGAACTGGTGTTCTGTGTGTCAGATGGTCTGTAGAACAAGGCGCCGGTTTTACCTGGGGAAGTGAGTTCGTAGAAGATGTATTTGGAAGTAAGGAGAGGAGGTAGTTTGCGTGATCTAAAGAAGAGTAGTTTTCGTGCAGTTCGCAGAAGAACTGTGGTACGTAGTCTGTGAATTTGAAACCATGTTTCACAGAGGGAGTGAGTGAGTTCCCGACACTGAAGTGATGTGAGTTTGGGGTACGGAGGGGGTGGGGAGTACGCACATGCCTTTATGCCTTGTGGTGAAGGGTCGTTTGATTTTTGACTGGTGACTGCCGCCAGGTGGAGTGAAAGCCCGTGGCACATAAGGCTGACCTTGATCATGATCGCCGGGAGGGTCCCAATTAGCCTTGAAAATGGTATCAATGAGCTTGCGAAAAGCAGAGTCTGGCATTACTGACGGGAACGTTATGTTGGGAGTGGGATGGAAGTTAAATGTTAGGCGCTCCTAATACTCCAGCTACTTTCATATCGATAGAATAGAATCGCCAGAATCTAAAAAATTCACTTAGTCGCTTTTAAATGTAAGTCGCGTAAGTTGTCATCATTGCTTGGGGAGTACTAGCATGAGTACAACGACTGGCCGACTGACATCATCATGCACAGAAACCGTCGACATATATAAGCTTTCGACGGAGACGAAGGGATGATCTCGCTAAAGTGCTAGATAAACTAAGTGAGGCCTCATCTGATGACGAGCACGACTTAGCTTTCAAACGTATTGCAACTAGTCTGCTACCGTAGATGATCTGTGAAGGCAGGCTGCAGAGTCTATGCAATAGTAGGTGAGTCGTTTTCTGATTTCCATGCCAACTTGAAGGGTAGTGATTTAGACCTGCCAGCGATGTTCATAAGTTATTCAATATTTTTTTAACTAGGTTTATGTAAGTAGTCAAGACTGGCACTTTATATGATAATGAATTACTCCCGCCTCCGAAGCCCCTGCCGGAGTTCCGCAAGTCAGCAGGACAACATAATATATATACCAGAGATATGGCACAGTACCTCCGATACCTCATCGACCCATGCCTTCCCTGACAGACGTCCGTTTCGCTGAACTCGTGCAGGACATCGCTTGCGATGTGCATTCCAAGACCCAGGATGATGACAACATTCTCAAGGTCCAAGAAATTTCGAGGGCATTTGTATGTAAGTGGTTTACACCATTGGATGAGAGAGCGATTTCACAGAGTATCTACAGCGGACACTCTCACAGGTATTCTATCTCGATATGGAGCACTAATCCACGCTGATGGCAAGATATCGTGATCAGTACCGACCAAGGAGATGAATGCCTATGCTCTCCGTGCGTCCCTCGGGGACGATGTATATTTCGAGCCATCCACTGCTTTGCTTGAATCCCACATCGCAAAGATCACCGGAAAAGAAGCAGGCCTCTTTCTACCCACAGGCACGATGTCCGAATCAAGTTGCACTCAGGACTCACTTGCAGCAGCCTCCATATTCAGTCATCACAGATGCACGGGCCCACATATACCGGTAGGTTTACTTGTCGCTTGAGAAATATGTTTCCAACGTTTGCCAGCATGGAAGCTGGCGGCGCTGCTTTTCACTCAGGTGCTAACAGTATCCCAATTATTCCCGCTAACGGTATGCTCTCTCTAAATCGGATCCGCATTTAAATTATTTCTTGCTCATGACCAGAACACCATCTTACCTGGGAGGACATCGAACCTCGTATCGTCTCTGGCACAGATGTCCATGTGTAAGTGCCAAATAAATGTCGCTCGACTACTCCAGTGACACCACCTCTGAAGTGCCCCAACGCATATCATAGCGCTTGAGAATACTCTGAACGGAACCATCATCCCACAGGACGACGTGATTGAAATTTCGAAGAACGCACATAGTCGGGGTATCATCATGCACCTCGACGGTGCGCGCATCTGGCATGTTGCAGCAGAGACCGGGTTGTCCATGAAAGAGCTTTGTGACCCATTTGAGTCTGCGAGCTTATGTCTCAGCAAAGGACTTGGTAAGACATGCTCAGCAACATGTTGTCGTTGACGGTGCTCATCAATCGCGTAGGTGCACCCATCGGAACTGTCCTAGTTGGCTCAGCGCCATTTATAACCAAGGCGCGATGGTTCCGAAAGCTCTTTGGTGGGGGTATGCGCCAGACCGGGTACTTGGCTGGCTGCGCTGCGTACGCACTTACTTACAATTTCCCTATGCTCCCTCGCGTGCACGCCCTTGCAAAGCGGATGCAGCAGGGCCTAGAACAACTCGGCGTTGGGATCTTGAGTCCCGCTGAAACTTGCATGGTAGGTGGCACCCTGACAACGTTAAAGGACGCCACATGAAAACGATAATGACCTTCTATTAGTTGTTCTATGACCCTTCGCCTATTGGGGTTGAATACTGGGAAGTAGTTGAGCGGGCCGCACAACTTCCGGATCCCATTAAGCTGAATGGGTCTCGCCTTCTGATGCACATTCAGACATCGCCTCAAGCAATAGAAGACTTCCTGGAGCTCCTGCGTACGCTCAAAGAAGAGAAGGCTGCTGCGGGATGGAAACCCGAGAATGCACCGCCTAAGAAGAAGACCCTGTTCAGAGATGTGTACGTCAAGGCCGTTAGACCAACATAGATGTGAAGAGAATCAATGCAAGTGGATAGATCGGCAATATGTATATATGTATCCAATATGAATGTGGAGCTCTACCCCTTCCCAATATACCGCTGTTTTTCATACTCCTTCCAGAGTGCCTTCATCACGCTCTTCCCCACCCGCATCCAACGCACTCACCATAACGGCATCACGACTGTGCGTACCCATAATCTGGCACAGCGAAAATAGACCCGGCTCAAGTTCACGCCTCACATCCGCCCGCATGACACACAACGGGTCGTTCACAGCGTCAATGTGCGCAGTAACCACATAAGCAGCGTGCTTAGCAAACGGTTTGAAAGGCTCTCCGCCTTCTGTTCTGCATTGGGCTGCATGTGCGCGCGGGGAACACTTTTTGTCGTCAAGGAGGTGAAGAGCCGTGCAAGTGCACGAGCTTCTGGCACACCTAGGGGTTCAGATGGTGCTATCCACGATGGGAGGGTGTCGGTGACGATGCGGCTCTGCTTTGCAGCTAGCTGGGGCCGTAGACTACGTGTGCATGAGACAAGTTGGCGGAGGACCATCCCAAGATGCGGTAAAATGTGGACGACAAGATCGCGCCGCAGCCGAACGAGTGCGTTTAAGATGGTAGTGGAGGTGTGGAAGACCGCGGGTGTGGTGGTACTGTCATGTATTGGAGACCCGCAGAGGATTTTAGAAAGCAGGACATGGATGGGACCCAGGTCGACAGGGCGAAGAGCTGCAGGCTGGTGTGAAGCGTCAAGTTAGGATCAAGGATAGGATATACTACGGCGTACCCTATCTGAACATTGCCGAGCCACAAACTCAAGGCAAGCTAGCTTCAGGTCCACAGGACCCGCGCAGAACTGTAGGTGTCCAATAAAGAGGTTCAGACACTGACTGAAAAACCCCTGAACGACCTTCAAAGTCCCTACGACAGAATAAGGATGGTGTTCAGAAATGTTGAAAGCTATGTAATCTACCTTGAGGTGCATCACGCAACAGGACAGCGGCCGCATGCACTAGACGCACACACCGAGCCGGAGGAAATCGTGTGCTTTCAAGTGCCTCGTATACTGTGTCCAGTAGATGTGAGAAGTCATCAACTGAAAGATGCTTGCACCCGCTTGAGACGACTTCATCCAAGGATTTGATGTCTCCTGCGTTCACCTCAATTTAGTTCGACCAATGGAACCGAACTAAAAAAAAACAACCCACCAGCTTCCGTAGAAAATACAAATACCCCTACTGCTAGGTCAAGATGCATCCCACGGTCGACATTAGGCAAACAACGCAGTTCCTCAAAAAGAAGTCCCAAGATTTCTACAGAAGACTTGCATTTTTCTCTGTTTCGCAAGAAGGCGACTGCGATTTGTTGGCTGTACCCAGATGTTGAAATAGCTGGAAAAAAAGAATTAGGACTGCCAAATTTAAGGATGCTTATATGCTTACCGGCAACGCCTAACCAATGGCCAAATGAAAGATGGCGCACCCATGCTTTGATAGTTCTGCTCGCGGGGAGCGTGTCAATGATGTTGGGGTGTGAAACTGGAGTGAGTGCAGCATGCAGTTCTTTTATTGATACAATTATCGAGTCGGGAAGACTATCATCATTATTAGAGGAAATTTACGTTTATATAGGATGACAAACGGACGCACCTGGAAACAGAAAAATCCTGTCTGAGACGCTCAACAAGCTGGAGCACACATAACTGGGGGACGCTCTCTTCATCAAGGAAACCAGACTGCGCGAGAGAACGGAAGATAGAAATACACGCGGCTGAGGCAGAAGTGTCTTTATCTGATGCTCGCAGGAGCGCACTGCTCGGTAGTCAGCAAACTTACAGCACAACAGGGGAAGACATACACAATATAAAGTTCCGCTAGATTTATCGTGGCCTCTCTCAATGCCGTATTATCTGAAACCTCCATGCCCATAAGATGCTTCACGTAGTCTCTGGCGCTCTACAAATGCACGTCAGCTAGAACTAAAGAAAGCGGATGTAGACATACTTCGTGATCAGACGTGTTCAGATACCCGAGTTTTCCCATCCGTTGAAGAAATACACGTATGTGCATGAGCGCTTGCCTCATATCTTCTAGGTCCCTTCCTTCGTCACGCTTACGTTTGCTCTTTGCTGCTCCCTCTCCGGTGGTTGCATGCAGCAACGACGAAATAGTGACATCCCCCTCCAATGCCCGGCGCACAAGCTCTACGCGAGCCTGTTTAGTGACGTACTCAGGGGGAACGTATAAGAGGAGGCAGTAAGTGCTGCTGAGCTGATCCAACGCAGAACCTTTCAGAGAGTTAGGCGAGGGCGTGAGGTATGCAAGAACGGAAGCTGTCGTCGTTAAGTGGTAAGTATCAATATGGAAAAATGAAAGCGCAACGGGGAATCAGAGCAGCGGATAATCTTACTTCGTATATTCCCCATCTCCCAGAACTGTGCATTGTGCAAAACACCCCAGAGGACATCTTTTGGCTGTAAGCCTTGTACATCCGCGCAACGAGTAGATATGGGCGAAATAGAGAATATAAGTTTGATCAGGCGATCGAGGGAAGGTTTAGATCCTTGGGCACTGCATGGTTGAGGTGTACATCAGTCGATAGAACCACAAGGAGGGACCAAAGAGATAACACATACTCTACAAGATCTAACCACCGCTCAACGATTAGGTAGAGTATCATCAACCCGTCAGTGTTCTCCACTTGCGCCTCAATATATGCAAGGGCAACGTCCAACACAGTCTCCACTTCTAGATCGGTTTCCGATCTAGAAGACCATGCAAAGAGAAACCGCAGCTAAAAACAATCAGCACCTTCCAACAAAGAGAGGAAGAAGACACACGATTTCAAGCACTAGCTCACCCTCCGCACCCTCCATTTTAGCAACGCTCAATAGTCCTCGCATGTCTCCTTGTTCTCCGCCACACCTCCAAGCCGGTAGATGATACGCAAAACGAAGAAGAAGCGCAGCACCTGTCATTTGGTCTGCCCAGGATATTTTAGAAGTCATGTCACAAAGAAGCGAGCGAGCGGCATCGATGGCCCATACGCCCGCCTCAAACACAGCCTCGCGGACATCGGCGGTGACGAACGAACCTGGGAGGTTAGACAGGAACAGAGCCGCGAACTTGAGAGTGAGGGAAAGTGAAAGTGCATGCGCATCTACTTCCCGCATGGCCTGCGGAGGCGCTGGACTCGCAGATGGCGGAGCGGGCTCGCTTTTCCGTCGCTTTTTACGCGGCCTGTCTTCCAACTCGTTAGTTTGTATGAGTGAGGAAAGGTTTTGGTAGGTATTGAAAGTGTTTTTGAGAGTCTGGGTAATCTGAGCTGCCTCTTTACTTGGGTGGGTGTGAGGAATGTGCGGAGCGCTTGTGCGAGCGAGGAAAGATGGGTGTGCCCAAGGATAGCAGAGGTCCGTCCGCAGCCGTAGAATTTTTGTGGTGACACAAGGGATCTAATGGAAGGAAGAGAGGTACAGGCATCAAAGAGTGCATGAATGTATGCGTGTAATGTGCGCGTCTTGGAGTGAAAGTCGAGGAGGAGGCTAAGAAGAACGTTGGCTGATTTTTGTATGGAGGGAGATGGGTGAGTCTGGAGAAAAAGTCATCGGGAATGGCGGACACATTGATTTGAGAGAAAAAGTCGAACGAAGAAGTAAAGCTCACCAAGATCAACCGAGGAAGTACCCTTCTTACGACAGGCTCAATTATATCATAGTCGACCCTCGCAAGCGCAGCCAACACGTCCAAAGCCAAACGTACCACCTCTTCTTCCGCTTCTTCTTCCAATACCCGTACCGCATCCTCTCTGACCTCCTCCACCTCCACCTCTCCCACACCCTGACTCGCGTAAATGCGCTCACTCTCAATGATGCTGATCAAACCCACTCGTGCTTCCCAGCTCAGATTGTTCCCGGCCAATAATTTGAGGCACGACGCGAAGAATGCCATGGATGTCATTCTCATGTCGTTTTCGCGGTTTTGTATTTTATTCTGGGAAGTGGGAAACAAACTGGTGCGGTACCGCCGCAGGAAGTGGGTATGGGTGCTGAAGAGGCGGGGTAGGAGCGGGATGACCGGATTTATTGTGGAAGGTGGGTTTGGCAAAGATAGGGCCGTGAATAAGCTCTCAGATGAGGAGGATGCACGCAGAGCATCGAGAGAGAACAGAGTCTCCGTTCCAGCAGCATATACTGCTTTATTCAGCTGTGGAGACAGATGGGATGATGGCGAGATTGCATGAATCCAGGATGAGAGATAGGTTTGGAGGAAGATCGCGGGTAGCTAAACAAATGTCTTAGGTTTCTCTCACCACATAAAAACAATAACACTGCCCACCTTCTTCTTATTCCCCGCATTTCCTAGTGCTTCTCTATATGAAGATACAATTGCTTCACAAATACCTCCCAAAATCTCATCGTTGACCAGCTCAGCAGAGACATTCAGTACAGCACCAAGGCACTCTAGTAGCGTTCCACACCAATTTTGTGGACACTTAACGGCCACAGGACAAAGAAGCACGGACGCACGAGCGCAAGGAGCTCTTTCGCCTCTGTAACTGGCAGATTCCCTAGCAGAGTGAGGATAGATATGATGATTGGTGCGAGCGGTGTGCGATTGAGAAGAGAACCGAGCCAGACCTTGAGGCCACGTGCACCTGCCCCTACGCTGCCATCTAAAACCTTGCGAAGAAGGGACCAGTACCCGCGCATCAATTACCGGGTTGTCGCTGATTCATCGGTTGTCAGGACCAATAGATGCACTCCGCATAAACCAACGCACCTAGTTTTTGACTTGTCTTTGAGTAGTCGCGTGAGTATGAATTCGGCGATGAGCTCGTGCTTATTTGGAATGTGAATAGTAGCATCATCCCATGCTGCACAAGCGATTTGTATTTTTGGTGGGCTCTCCGGATTAGGTGGATCTGTAGGGGCTTTTAGGAGCCTAACGAAAGACTGGGCGGACAAGGGTGTTGTCATTGAAAGGCCATGAACTTTACTTCGGAACAGTATGTCCAGGATGAAATGAAAAGTTATAGCTTGGCACGTGATGCTATCATCAGTACTTGTTCAATTCATTGTACGAACTGAATCATAAGGCACGTTTGCTAATACTCAGAGATTAATAGGAGATCCCAACATACGTGAACATGAATTCAAGCTGGAAAATGCGTCAATTGTCGCGATCTTATAAGTAGTCAACTTGAACCTGAACGGATTACACCCCCCCTGGGGGGGGTCAATATACATATGGAAGTGGAACAGAGTGGAACGCGGTTGATGCATTTATTTTTGCCCATCATCCAAGTTCATTGTTGTCTGCTGCCTCTCTTCCCCACTTACCATGTCTGCCCAGAGCATACCTCACTGGAATGCAATTCCCATGTCTCGACCTGATACAGACACTCAAGAACAAGCACAATCTGTGCAAAACCAAATTAATTCTATGAAGGTACTCTGCCATATTTTCTGGCACGAATAAAAACACCCCTACTGCCCTCCCATCCATCCATCCCAGCGCTCTCACCAAGATGTTGATGATGACGATGACGACGGCGTCTCGCTAGTCTCAAGGTCACCATCGCCTATTCCCGATACAATGGACATTGAAAAATATGACGAATATGTCCGCGGTCCAGAAAGGGAGGTTATCACCGTCGAGACCAAAATTAAAAGCACCAACAAGGGCTTTGCAATGCTCGCAAAGCTTGGTTGGTCAGAGGGTCAGCCGTTGGGACTATCTGCAGACGGTAGGCTTGATCATCATTGTCGGGAACTATACCACTAATCCTTCTACTGCAGCGCGCGTCGATCCTATACCATTTCATGTGAAAAATGATTGACTGGTCTAGGAAAGACGACTCAAGATTTTCGAATGATCGAGACAACAGTTGCCGAAGACGCAAGTTGGACTCTGAGCGACAACGCAAAGAAACCGAATATCAACGAAAAGCACGAGAGGCGAGTCCAAACCGTACTAACTATGTCACAGAGCATACTGATATTGTTTCAGGACGATGCTGCCCGTCGGGCTGCACTCAAGTCGGAAATTTCGGATACCCTCAAAGCATTCTACTGTTCGCTTTGTGAGAAGCAATTCCAGAATGTCGCACAGTATGATGAACATACAAACTCGTACGCGCATCACCACAAGGCGCGCCTCCGGATATGCAAGCCAACACACGTATGACCACCCAAGAAGATGTCGACAAGCGTAAGGAGAAAGAGCGCAAGCGAGAAGAAAAAGAGCTTCGCAAAATTGCCAAGGCTGCTGGGATAAAGATGGCAAAACCTACAACTACACCAGCTATCGTGTCTCCTGCACAGACACCTGCTGCTGCAGAGGCGTCACTTCCCTCTGAGGCACAATCAAGCAGTTTCAAGAAAGCGGGCTGGGCAACCGTTTCAGCACCAGTTGAGCCTGCGACCGGTTTCAAGCGGTTAGGTGGGCATCTTTGGATTCCAATGCATCCTCTGCACCTTCCGCACCACTTCCATCCCCACTACCGCCAGTGATCAGTCCGCCCCCAGCTTCTCGCAGCGCAGCTACACCAACATTTCGCACCGGTGGCTGGACATCTCTTGACGTCGGCAGCTCTCAGTCAGTCACCCCGCCTCCTCCCAACAACACTGCAGCGCCGCCACCACCGCCACCCAATGTAGCCCCGCCTCCTCCCCCAGTTACTCCTATGAATGCGCCTCCTCTAGGCGGTCGGCCTCCATTCCCGCCAGCAAATGTGCGTCCACCTAGCGTACCTCTCCCTCCCAGCGTGCCTCCGCCCAGTGGGCAACCTCCCTTCCCTCTCACAACAGGCGGCTGGGGACCTGCTGCGCTTGTCTCAGATTCTAGGAGACGGGATCAGAGTTTTGTTCCTGCGCCGACGTTCTCCCAACCCGCGCCTCCCGTAGCAGCTGCCCCACCTACATCAACCAGTCTAAAGGCTGCGGTTCCCCCGCCTGCTGCTCCTCAAGCAAGATCAGGCTGGCAGCAGTGGAAGCAAGGCTCTGGATCGAAACGGAGATAGAGTACATACATGCATCTCTGTCATTTACTATGCTGATTACGTGACATGTTGCTCAACTATTGGTCATCTGCAAAATGTAAGGACGGAGTTTTTGATTCCGCGGAAGCACTGGCACTCATGATCACTCGCTTGGTGATCGCGATGTGACGCTCAAATACCACTTGAGCTTCGCCGCCCACCTGATCTCGCCGATGTCAGCCTTCTTGCCAGATGTGAACCGTTAGTGTTTCGTGACCGTAGACTGTTGCCACTTTCATCATTCGTACACCCACAAAATATAAACTCCAATCTGTCCTGAAATTTTAGCACCCTGCGGAATCCAGATTCATTACTTCCCCTATATGGGCTCTAGACTTTCCTTTTACAAGACCAGCCGCGGCAATCACCTGTACTTACATAATCCTGTGACTTGAATCAGTTCATTGTAAGCTCAAATATTTGTATTCTGCTGCACTGATCAGCGCTCGACATAAGTTGACGCTTGAGACTATCATTTGGGTCTCTTTGTTCTTTGATCTACCTGCAGGCATGGGAACTCGCGGGTACTACGTGCTCCGTTATCGGAACTTGTATTTCGCTCAATACCACCATCGTGATAGCTATCCAGATGGGCTTGGCGTAAAGGCTCTTCAGTCTATGCAATACCCCAGTGCTATCACGACCCATCGGCAGGTGTTGGGAGAAATCTTAGACGGGTTGGAAAGCCCTTCGCTTTATCTAGTATTGATTGAAGGTGGTGAAGATCTCTTGCCCCCCTCCAGGGTGCGGCTAGAAATTGACATCATGATCGAGTGGGTCTACGAAATCGATCTTGATCGCAATATCTTCCACATAAATGGGATGCCTTTTTTTTCCTTGGAATGCCTTCCAGACGATGAGGATTTTATCCAATACATCTCCAAAGATCATTATGGCAACCTAGCTTGTGCATCACAATGCCCCCCTGAGCACAGGTACAAGAGGCCAACACCGCCAACCGTCGACAATTCTGACCTCGCGACGTACCAATCTTTTTTGTGTACCGGATCTCATGTGGCTTTGAGCGACCTGCTCGCCATTAATTACTTCCTGTCTCCAGACGAGCATATTCGGGTCTCATTACTAGAGGTCATGGTTGGGCAGTGCATGATTAACCCAGCCATTGGCAAGGACATCTACGACATTGAGCTCGTATCTGATCACAATCAACTCACGGACGACCAATGGTCAATCGCTTGCTTCATGGCCAGCATTGCATTTGTTCCTCCGATATTCGACCATATCACGCACGCTTGCCATCCCGAGCCGAGCCGAAAAGAGTTCACATGGGTTCGCGAAGACACTGTTGTTTGCATCGCAACACATCTAGATGACGAGCGATGCCTACAGGCCTCTGTGTCACGCCTGATCAATGAGATCACGGAGCAGAAGGATAATTCTGGTGATTACTTTGGAATTGCGTTTTCCGTCTACCATTGTGCACTCGTCAAAGTCGTCAAAGATGCACACACGGTGACATTCAGCCATACGAACGCCCTCCAGTTTTTACCATCATTCTACGCAGATTCACCTTCTACACCAGGCATCACTGCTCTCGCTCGTCTTGGCTTCGCATCGACCCCCGCACTCTTTGAGCGCGTGGTGGAAATTTGCCATTACAATCGTCCCATGACGGGGGAATCGCTCTCTGAGGGAGCTGATGGCAGTAATGATGTGCCATCTAACATCACATGTCCACCGCTGCCTCCCGAGCTTGGAAAGAGATTGCCCTTCATCTCCATCCCTCTGAACTCATCCCCTTCGGGTTGGTCTCAAAACTATTCCGTGAAGTAGCCTCGACGATACTCCGCTATCCCCACCTCTGTGGATATCGCTTGGTTGCTGCTCCCAGAAGGAAAGCAAGATATCTCCAGGATCGACCCTTCTCTCTGCATGCTGCATCTTTTTCTGCTGTGCGAGCCGGTATTCCTACTACTGTGCTTTTTGGATTGAAGTTTAAAGATAGACCATCGGAGAGTCTGGCCGCTCCGCTCAGTGTTGGAGGTATCCTCGCTTTGGGTACTCTTTCAGCCACTTCCTGAGGAGCTCGCGTGGTGACTAGAGACCCCATGTTGTGACTTGTTGCCTAACGCCTTCAATCTGGGAGCAAACATGGCCTTGACTCCCATGTAGTTAATGTATCATACTAAGGCACCGCTACGAGTTAGACGATTGTCAAGTCAAGTTCGCAATGCCATTTCTTTTTTTACGTCACAAGTGCGATTTGCGTAAAATATGGACACTGGTGCGCTTAGCGAATACAGGTTTACTGGCCAGTTGACGCGTCCGATAATTGTTACAGTATCGTATACCACTTGTATGCATTATTCTGCATCTGGTGAGTGAGACCACGCTGCGTGAATGATGTGGGCTTTAGTCTGATCACTGTTCAGTGAGCAGCGAGACTCGAGCACAACTCCAGCAAGAGCAAGGTTGGAGCAAGCGCCTGGATCCAATGGAACGGCATATATACATTCTGATGAACATAGGTGGCGTCCACATGACCGGACGCGGTGCCGAGGAACTGTAATTCAAAGATACCACTTAGTTACAGGGCGTCGTTGTCTGTATGAATGGCAGGCCCATCAGTGATCTGGGCTGAATAAAGGAACATAGTGACTAGTAGCAGTGGTTTCCCGTGTAGTGAGAGACACGGCGAAATGTAAGCCGTACGCACGAGATGGATATCGAGCATTGGCGACTCGGAGGTAACGAGCGCGTTCGAGGAGTTGGTCGGGGAGAGGCGGATGTACTAGTATGATCCGGGGCACAATTTGGCATATGATATATTGGCCAGGCAGTAAAAACGCGGATCAAATTGTGAATGATGGAATGTGACTCATGATCATAAATGAGGCTTGGGCGCTTCCGTTGCATAGCATATGCTCTAAGCTGTGAAGTAAACACGAGGATAATGCATGGAAAACGTACCAGCTCAGACTTTCAGTCTCTTGACCTATACGCTCATTATGTCTTGTGCCAACGCGTCAAGACCTGCTAGGAAACATCATCATAAGTGATGATTTGGACGTTGTTGGATGAAAGCTGGGACAGAGCTGCGCCCAATAGTTGATTATATCTTCACCCGTCGTTAGAAGGCAGGAGATATCAACAATGAAGCCCAGCTAGAAATTTAAAGGATACGCAGATTGGGTCGAAGGCGCCATATATCTCCCAGGCAGACAGCGGATGATGACATGTTCAAGGGGAGGCTCGATGCGGGTATAGAACTTGAAGAGTGGGAAGCAGATCGGAGAGGACTGGAGGAACGAAGATAGCGAAGTGCGGACAATGGCGTTGTCTCCGGACGGGAAGAAAGTGGTTAACGGAAGTAGGTTTTGGGGGTATCGACACAGCCAGAATTATCGCGAGATGGACGGAACACGCAGAAATAGAGTGGTCTGTGTGCTGGGGTCGAGATGTTCAGCGAGTGGTGAGCGGATCCGACTGCAGGTGAGTGGGAGGACGTAGAGAACGGAGAGACAATCCTGGATGCTGGGTTCGATCGAGACGGGGCACAAAAAGGTGTTGCCAGTCGTCTACTCGCCAGACATGACCATTTTTGCAACTGGTGGACACGACAAGCCCTGGTGTACCGAAAGCTCAGACTGACGCCTGATCTCGCCGATGCTTGGCCTCAACCGCAGGCGGTCCTGAACGTTGAACGTTCGAACCGTTAGTGTCTTGTGACCGTCTAGTACTGAGTCTATTCCCATTTCACTTACTTACATAATCCTATGACTTTGAATTCAACTTCCTGGCAGGATTAAGTTAGGGAGGCGTACGAACACCGGTGTAGCCAAAAACAAACCAGCTTTTGACTCTTGAGGCCTCAATACGCAGAGGTGACTAGGGGAGACTAACTTGAAATTGTTCATCGTAAGCTCAAATATTTTTTATATCTGTACACGGGCGGCCACTGATCAACGCTCAACATAAGTTGACGCTTGAGCTCAGATCATCGTTTAGGTCTCTTTGATCTACGCGTAGGCATGGGAAATTGGGTGTTCTCCGTGCTCCGCTATCGGAACGTTTATTTCGCTGAAGACCATAGATTTGACGATTCAAGTGGGCTCGGCGTAAAGGTTCTTCGGTCTATGCGAAGGCCCAATGCCATCGCAACCCATCGGCAGGTGTTGGGAGAGATCCTAGACGGTTTGAAAACCCCTTCGCATTCTCTAGCACCGATGAAAGGCGGTGAATACCCTCCGTCCCCCTTCCACCTGCGGCGGCAGCGGAAGCAACTAGAAAATAGCAACTGGATCGACTGGGAGTGGATCTATGAAATTGATCTTGATCGCAATATCTTCCACATAGATGGGATGCCTTTTTTCTCCTTGGAATGCCTTCCAGACGATGAGGATTTTATCCAATACATCTCTGAAGATCATTATGGCCACCTAGCTTGTGCATCACAATGCCCCCCTGAGCTTAAGTACAAGAGGCCAACACCGCCGACCGTCGACAATTCTGACCTCGCGACATACCAATCTTTTACGTGCACTGGATCACACGTGGCTTTGAGTGACTTACTCGCCATTAGTGACTTCCTGTCTCCAAACGAGCATATTCGGGTCTCATTACTAGAGGTCATGGTTGGGCAGTGCATGATTTGCCCAGTCATTGGCAAGGAAATCCACGATATCGAGCTCGTATCTGATCATAATCAGCTCACGAACGACCAATGGTCAATTGCATGCTTCGTGGCCAGCATTGCGTTTGTTCCTCCGATATTCGACGGTATCTTGCGCGTGAACCATCCCGAACTGAAAAGAAAAGAGTTCACATGGGTTCGCGGGGACACTGTTGTTTGCATCGCAACACATCTAGATGACGAGCGATGCCTACAGGCCTCTGTGTCACGCCTGATCAATGAGATCATGGAGCAGAAGGATAATTCTGGTGATTACTTTGGAATTGCGTTTTCCGTCTACCATTGTGCACTCGTCAAAGTCATCAAGGACGCACACACGATGACATTCAGCCATACAAACGCCCTCCAGTTTCTACCATCATTCTACGCAGATTCACCTACCACAGCAGGCATCACTGCTCTTGCTCGTCTTGGCTTTCGCATCGACCCCGCACTCTTTGAGCGCGTTGTGGAGATTTGTTGTCGCAAGGCTTTCCTCAAAAGGAGTAATGAAACGGAGGAATCGCTCGGTCATGGAGTTGATGGCAGTGATGATATGCCTCCGAATACACTATGTCCAGCGCTGCCTCTTGAGCTTTGGAAAGAGATTGCCCTTCATCTCCATTCCCTTGAACTCATCCCCTTTGGGTTGGTCTCGAAACTATTCCGTGAAGTAGCCTCGATGATACTCCGCTATCCCCACCTTGGTGGATATCGCCTGGTCGCTGCTCCCAGAATGACCCCAAGATATCTCCCGGACCAACATCTCTCTCTGCGTGCTGCATCTTTTCCTGCTGCGAGAGCAGGCATCCCTGCTACTGTGCATGTTGGATTGGAGGAGTTCAAAGATGGACCATCGGAGAGTTTGATCACTCCGCTCAGAGTCGCAGGTTGCTTTCTTTTCGTGCATATTTCAGCCAATTCCTGAGGCCACTGACGGAAAGCTCGTTGGAGATGGAAAACCAAAGCTCTCGTGGCGTTTAGCACGACTAGAGACCGGGCCGAATTTGTCTAATGTCTTCAATCCGGGAGCACACATGAGTTCCCTCACTCCCATATATTTAATGTATCATACTATGGCATTGCTAAGAGTTAGACTATTGTCGAGTCAAGTTCGTAATGCCATTTCTTTTTTTACGTCACAAGACGTGCGATTTGCGTGAAATGTAGGACCTCAATTACGAACACTGTGACTAGTTGACGAGTTCGATGATCGTTAACGTGTATCACTTGTTTGCAGAACTCTGCATTTGGTGAGCAAGACCGCGATGCGTGAATGATGTAGGCTGTTATTTTTCGGTGAGCAGCGAGACTCGAGCACAACTCCAGCAAGGGCAAGGTTGGGGCAAGCGGCTGGATTCAACGGAAATATATACAAACATTCTGATGGACACAGGCCCATCAGCGATCCGGACTGAATAAAGGAACACGATGACTGGTAGCAGTGATTGCAAAAGTTCTGGGTGACTTCCCGTGTAGCGAGAGAGACAGTAAAATGTAAGCCGTACGCACGAAATGTATATCGAGCATTGGCGGCTCGGAGATGACAAGCGCGTTCGAGGAGGAGTTATCTGTGGAGAGGCGGATGTACGATCTAAGGCGCAAGTTAGCATATGATATATTTTCCAGGCAGTGAAAACGGGAATGAAAATTATGAATGATGGAATTCGACTCATGATCACAAATGAGGCTTGGGCGCTTCCGCCCCACAGCGCATGCTGTAAGCTGTGAAGTGAAATACATGGAAAACGTGCCACCTCAGACTTCCAGTGCACTCTTGACCTATATGCCCACTGTGTCTTGCGCCAACACGTCAAGACCTGCCAAGAAACAGGTCGTAAGTGATGATTTGGACTTTGTTGCATGAAAGCTGAGACGGAGCTGCACCCAATAGTTGATTGTGTTTTCACCCATCGGGAGAAGGCAGGAGACCTCAACGATAAAGCCCAGCCATAAATTTGAAGGACCGATTGGGTCGAGGGCGTCATATATCTGCCAGGCAGACAGAGGATGATGACGTGTTCAAGGGAACCAGAACCACTGTATTTGAAGTCAGTTTGCATCTAGAACATAGTGTACAGAGGCATACCATAGACATGTTTGTCCCAACGTCAATGTAAACTGAAATCTGCGTAACGTTTGGAGTTGTCTCACAGATTCCTGAATTCTTGACATAGCAAAACTCAGATGCATTGACCTTGGATTGAACGTCGACGAGTCCTGCTTTTGTAGTGTCAAGATCAGCAGAGACAGCGCGCACACCGGCTAACAAGGCAATGCCGACTCGGACGAACGTCCTCAGAAACATGGCAGTGCGCGCTGGTAGGGAGGTCTAAAGTCATCAACTCCAGGTACTTATGGAGTAAAATATGCTCTGGAAAAGATATCAGGCGATCAAAAAACAGGTACCCACATGGCGGCAGAAAAAACGATGTATGCCTAAAATTCTGATGCCCTACGTTAGCGCTTTAGCGCGTTGCTCCGAGTAACTTGGAGAACGTATCCGGAAAATGTCCACTCTGGGTCCACGATGAACTTCTCGAGAGCCTAGGGACAGTCTATTAGGGCCTTAGTAGCTGGTTTAAGTTGAGTTTGGACACTGCCCAGTGACAATTGAGCCTTGAACGCCGGATGGTGATCGCTGCTGACGTCGGCGGCGGCGACAGATGGGCCAGATGACTGCGTCCCTGCCGCCCATCACATTGATACATTACTCTCGCCCCGTTTCACCGTAGGTTGCACTGGGATTTCCAACACGCGGATGAGATAGAGCTCGTGAGTGTTTTGGAGCACTGGAAGTGCTGGTGCAACTGCAAACACTGGCATGGCTCTCAAATGTGAGATAACAGGAACTTAAGAGGTTAGTTTGGAACTTTGACGGTAATGAAATCACCTGGTGGACCTTCAATTTAGTGTTCTGCAACAGACATGCATGCTTGCTTCGGTCAGTCAGCTTGGTATCAGCAACTGCTAGGCCCAAGCGAGTGCATGGGTGAGAGCAATCACTGATATTGGGGGGCACTCACGGCGGTGATGAGCCTCGGTCAATTTCAAAGAAGCCCAGATAACATTAGATCCAGCAAACGACGTCATCGTACATACGTGGAATCAAACAAAGTCAAGGTATCGAAGGGTATCGAGCAGGCACGGTCTACAATTGTGACGACCATCAGTCACGACTAGAATTAACTAACTACATTGCTGTTCTTTAATTTTGGTGGTGTATGTATGTACGTTTGCTTGCGAGAGAGCGAAGAGATGAAGAGTAGCACAAGTTCTGAAGGTTATAAAGATCAAGACGACAGTCACAATTATAGGAAAACAATAAGCGGGGGGCGAAGAAAATCTACCAACAACCCGACGAAGTCGCGCAAAAAATATCAACCAGCGACATCGCAAGGCAGGGAAGACGAATTACTCCGACTCGCTGCCTGAGCTGTCGTCTGAAGAAGAGTCCGATGAATGATCGCTATCGTTCTGATGAGGTTGCGTAGGTGCAGCGTTGGGTGTGGCAAAGTTGTTATCATCGAAGAGCCGCATCCGCTCCTCCAGCTTGCGGATCTTCTCAGCTTCAGCGGTCTCGTCCATGCTCTTCCGTTTAAGGCCACCAGTACCCGTACCCTTGCCAGTTCGATTCCGTTTCTGCGTTGGCTGCCGCAGAGGCCGAAGCACAAAGTTATACAACTTTGTGAGAACGTGTGGTGGTAGTATGTCGATCTCAAGTTCGATCTCCTCAGTACTCTGCTTGAGTTGTTTATCAATATGATAGTACATATCTCCCAATTGACTTACATCACGAATTTCGGGAACGCCCTCATGAATAATTTGGATGACTTTCTCAAGCTTCACCCCATCAAGACTGGTGATGGCCTCACTCAAGTCCTTCTTCTGCTCAAATGATAGCGCATCGTCCTCGGCCATAGGCTTCTTAGTCGTGGTCTTACGCTTGCTCCCGTTGGTCGCAGGTGCTGCCTTGGGTGCGCGCGAAGCAGCGGCCTTTGAGGTAGAAGCAACAGGAGCCTTCTCTTTCTTCTCCTTTTTCTTCTTCTCCTTAGCCGGCTTGGCCTTCAGGGCCATGAGATTACCGCGCATCGACTCGATTTGAGCCTCCATGGTGGCGATCCTGCCTGTGTATATAAAGTACATTAGCGGATGAACACGCTGGGTATGTGAGGTCCACCCACGATTACGTTCTTCCTCCGACTCCTCATCCTCGTACTCCTCCTCTTCATCATCACTTGCATCCCGAAGGGCCGGCAGATTCTTCCACTTCTCGTCAAACAGTCGCTGCAACTCAATCCCTGCCTGATTGACAGGTGTTCCAGCAGGGTTGAACAAGAAACAGTTGCGGATCATGAGCTTGAAGTCATCAAAGAACTTTGAGGCATTGGGATACTCCCCAGCCTCAAGCTTCTTCCGCATGGTAGACATGTCCATGGGCTTCTTGATGACTTTATAATATGTCGGAATATCAAGCTTTACAGCATCTGTAGGATTATGATCGATCTCATCGCAAGGTACGAAATTGACTTTGGTCATACCAACAGGCTCATAAAACGGAGCAGCAATTGTTTGATGCTGCTTTCGCTGAAGATCACTTAAGATCCTCCCGCAATATTTGAGCTGCTCCCCTGTGCCATCGTCCTTCGGTACCTTGACCTTGCGCATCTTTTTTGGCACATCGGCATATGGTAGGTCTTTCGGGGGAGGTGGATGGATTTCACGTTTCGGCCGTGCAGATGCCTGTTCGGCTTCATTGCGCCTAATGACAGGAACTGAGGTTGAAGGGCGACGAACAGGTGCCGCCGCGGCTTTCTTGGAGGGAGCTGGTGGTGGTGGAGGTGGAGGTGGTGTAGCGACTTTCTTGACAATAGGAGGCTTCGGCTGCAATAATAAGTCGCGCACGCAGCAATCATCAAAAGGTGACATACCTCGGCTGGAGGTGGAAGCTGCTTAATCTGCTTATCAAAGACAGCCTCGACGTGTTTGCCTGCCTGAGCAATCACATGGTCCGGGCCATTGAACGTGATGCAATTACTGAACACTAGTCGCACGTCGGAGACGAACTCCTCGGCGCTGTAATAGCGTGGAATGTTGGGACTAGTCTCCGGCTTGGCGGGATTAGACGCCATGAGCTTGCGCTCGATGGTGCTGAAGTCCATGGGAGTCTTGATTATGGATGGGTAATGGGGAATATTAAGAGCGACGGGATCCACGGGATGCACAAACGCGGCAGCATCCTTGAGCTTCTTAAGCGAGCGTACCGTCGACAGACAAAATCTGTGTTGCACGGGGCTGAGGGTCGATATGCCGTTACCTGTAGGTATGGACACTGGGGTTGGACTTGATACAACGGTGTCACCATTTGTTTGTACAGAGGAAGCTGTAATAGGAGGGGGAGAGCCAGTCTTCAGGGTCGAGAAAAAGAAAAGGATTAACACGCCTGCATGGCGCACAACGAGAAAAATGCTCACATTGGCAATGGATGCCTGATCGGCGTCTGAATATTTACGCGCGCGCTTAGCTGGGGGTGGTCTGGCTTCATTATCATCATCGACGGCGTCAGAGCGCTGCTGAGGAGAATCGAAGTTGGAAGTAGCACGCGATGTTGGTGGGCCAGTAGAGTCCACAGGAGCTGGTGATGAATGGCGTGGTGTGCCATTAGAGCGACCGTTGGTGGTAGGGGGGGACTGGTCCATGTGGACATCTCCATCGGCGTCAGCGGTGTGTGCGCCGTTGACGCCGTTAGTGGTCGGGACTTGATCCGAGTCATCAACTGTTGTCTCCTCTGCCATCTTTACATCATCCAACAACTGGCCCTCCATTGGTCTTGGTGTTCCGCTCGGAGGATGGATGGGGATGGAAGCTGTTCTGATAAGAACAAAGAAAACAAACAATAGAATGGAAAAAGAACTAACCTGGATCAAGCGGAGTCGAAATTTCTACACAAGTTGAAAGCGTGTCGAGGATTTCAGACTTTAGAGAAGGATTATTAGAGTCTGGAATCATTTGGTCAAGTTTCAGGTCTACAGAATTTGTGTTACATTTTCAAGTCAGCTGGAGATAAGTAATTAAGTTAGGGATCGCGTGCACCATTAACAACATTGTCGCCATTGACGGCGGTAGAAAGAATCGATTGCTGTTCGGTGTGAGTCGCGCTGTGCTCTGTCGCGTTCATGGGTGGCGCGTGACTAATATGTCACACAGCGTGACGTTTTCAGAGGAGAGGAGATTTTGGATTTGGGGGAATCGGAAGCCAGCCATTGGGTCTTTATAGGCGAACGGAATTAAGGTTTGACCTGCGCAGGGGCCACTAAAAATTACTCACACCTCATATCTCACGTAGAGCAAAAAAATTGAAACTAATTCCTGCTCTAATACCCATAACCTCATAAGTCTGGTGCTCAACCTTCCTCTTCTTCCTCCTCGTCCTCTGAGACGTTCGAAAATACGGGTTTGGGCTGGTTTTGTCGCCATGCTGGTTAAATCCAAAGTAACGCCACGTCAGCCGGCCGATTAAAACAAATAACTCAAAACAATTATTTTCACACTCCGCTACGGCATCTCCTACTTGCCGCAAACCCCTCCCCCTCCGCAGCCCAGGCGACTATTGAAACATGCTGCTCACCTGAAGTCCATTGAGGGTCCTCGTCTGCCATCTTCGCATACTTGAGTAATGCCTCCCGTGGCTAAAGAACAAGTATAAAAGAATGAAAGAGATAGTTAGCCACCTTGGAAACCATCAAAAAACAAAAGAAGATAGGAAGCACGTGATTATGACACCGCACGAGAACATCTTGCTGCGAAGCGACGTAAAGAAAACCAAGAACGCAACCACTCACATCTTCGTCGCGTGTCGTATCCCGCACCAAATTCTGTACAACGTGCTGCGTCGCACTCGCACCAACCCGTCCTCCCCGACCCGGTCCTGTCACCGGCAACTCCGGCCTTCTGCTCTTCCTCGGGTCCATTCGGTCCTTTTCAAACTTCCTCTTCATTCCCTTCACTAATCCCTCCCCATCTTTGAACATTGGCAAGGCATGCGGCGTCAAGATCGTTGGTGCAGCGAGTGCGTCCGACAAGTCCTCGATCGTCGGTCGCTTGGGGACTCCCTTTGACAGTAACAGTTTCGCACCGTTCAACGACGTCTCCGGTGAATACAGTACTGCAATGGTGCCGTTGGCAAGACCTGTAATAATTTGATTTATCTTGGAATGCCAGACCACTTTGACTGGTGTTGTGTCCATGTCAATCTCCTTCACCACACTGAGACTCTCTCGGCGGAGTAACGTTAGTTTGCCTCGTCCTCCCTTTGCGGACGCTCCTGTGCCTGTTAAAATATACTTTTCATCAGGGCTGAATACAGCATTCGTGCCAGGATACAATGTCGTAGCCCCCGAATGTGACGCGAGCGGTCGTTTAAAGGCCCGTAAATCCCACACTGTGCCTAAATCAGCCAAACATGTCAGCAAGCCTGCATTCGTACGTACGCTTAACGGTGTCGTCCCCTCCTCTCGTCAGTACTGTTCTCCCATCAACGGAAAAAACCAGAGATCCAACATCTGTTCCTTTCGTGTGTGCGCCCTCAATCGTCATGTTTGGCCTCACAAAATTTGATGACGCCTGCCACATATGCAGTGCGCCATCGAGGCAGGCTGAGAACCATCAATGATTACTTCAACTCGCGATTAAAGCGGGTCTAAATGGACATACCGCCTCCGATCAGCGTTCCATCGGTAGAGTAAGCGCACGTCGTCACTTTGGTCCGTGCACCACGTTCTTTTGATTTGACAACAATAACGGATTTCTGTTTCCGTTTGTTCTCGACATCCCATATTCTATTCCGTAATATCAGAAGTTGGACGTTGATAGCGGCGTGAGAGCTTGCCTAATAGTTGAGTCTGCCGAGCTAGTGATAAAATACTGCTTGTCTTTCGGATGCCACATGCAACTTGAAAGTTCCCCGACGTGTCCACTATAAAACGTGGTGTAAGCAAGCATGCTCTCGAGTAATATGGAACGGGGCGTACGCAGTATGCTTCATGTCTCTGATATACATATCACCCTTGACGAATGTTGCTCTGAGGTCATTCAAGCTATTCTGTTCTGCAACAAGATAGATTAAACTTACTTCTCCTCGCCCTCCCGATCAAACAGCTTGGCTTGAATTGTCCCTGAAATTACGAGGAACTGCTGGCCATCGTTAGAGTATTTAAGGTCGTTAACCTGTCTTCAAATGTCAAATACATCCTTCTCGTGGCAAAACCAACGCACGTACATAGTAACTGCCTGCAGGCTCCCACGTCTTGAAGGACCTTGTTTGCGTCGTCATTCCACCAAAATCCCACAACTTACAATCATAGTCATGCGAACCACTCAACACACGTGCACCGCTCGGATCTACCGTAAGCGCGGAAATCACCTTGGTGTGCTCTTTGAGCGTTGCCTCGTGTGTGATCGGGAAATCGGGAGTTGATAGCGAAGGAGCGCTGGGGTCATATTCTGGTTCGTCGTCAGTAGAGCCAGCATTGTCTTCGTTGTCTTCGTCGCCTAAGCCATCAACATCCTGTTTGAAAAAGCCTGGTTGCGGAAGGGAAGGCCCGGGGTCGTCCGAGTCTTCGTCAGATTGAGAAGGTGCCCGAATAGACATTTTGAAAGGCCCTGATGCAGGAATCAAGGGCTTGGCCTCCACTTTGGGCTGCTGAGCGGATAAAATGTATTAGAGGACGATGGCAACCGAAAAACGATGAGACTGACCACTAGCTCCTCACGTTTCATTTTGTCGAACCTGTTGGGGTCAAGCTCGCGCTTCTTGGCAGCCTTGCCAAATCCAACAATGCCCATAGCAGAAAATACGTCCATGTCGGCCATTGTGTCAGAGCTGACTGTTGGTGTTGATCTGTGCAAGTGGAAAGATTGCAGCCACAACCTAAATTACTTACTCCCACAAACAGCCTGAAATGGAAACCCCGCCTAACTGTTGTCTTGAGGCTTTAAGGCTTTAAGAACGCCATATCTCAAGCTTGTCCTTCAACCATATTCTGACCTGCAGCCAGAATAACTTAGTATGCTCAAACGACAGCGTCCTCCAACGCCCCCACCATCGCTGGATGAGATTCCGTCGTTAACGCCATTTCCCGATCGACCTATCAGACCAATACCACACCGTGAAACTCCTCCAAACATGTTTTCACATGAATCGCGTGCTAAAAGACGCAGAATACACCCTCCAGTGCTAGACGGTGCACAGAGAGGCTGGGGTAGACCACCTGCTTTGTCAGTGCCTCTCGCAGATGATAGCGATGGCGAAGAAGATTGGATAGATGGAGAGGATGACGCGGCAACTGGTCACTTCGCGGCATCACCGGACTATACAGACTACAAACAGGCCAATACTATGCTACACGAGATCCATGCTCTACACCAGCACAGGCTTATGATCACCCAACCGAACTCACAACCACCGTCACATCTATATTTGCCCCCTCAGGCAGGCTTCTCAGCCCTTCCACCGCCTATGGCCACTCATCCACATAATCTTTGGCATTCCACTCACGGTTTTCGCTATCCTCCTTCTATTTCCTCCAATGGCAAATTATTTATACCAACACTGCCGGAACGCCCTTTGCCCGAGTTCTATTCCCATCTCCCACATGCGGCCCAAGCTCCTAATGAATTAGCTGCACACACCCCATTGGATTTTCACGAAGTCAAGTCCGTGCGAGAACGCTATGAGGATACCAATAAGTACGACCTGTGCCTTCTCTTCTTTTCATGTGGCGTTGCTAACTAAACCTAACAGATTGTTGGGATCAGTATTCCTCTCGCGGAGACGGGAACTTCAAGAGAGCCCTATTTCCAGTACTCCTGTCACAGAGCGAGGTCACTGACCAACACCGGAACTTACTATGAGATCGAGCCCTTAGATCAGGTGCTGTGGACATAGACATACTATACACCCGTCGTGATCGGCACCTTCAATTCTATCATCGTTCAGTTCGCCATTACGGATATCTTCTTCATTACTATCGCGTGCTCGTCCTCACATCCTACTTTATTTGGCATGTTCGCATCCTTTCATCTATAAGCATCCTTGGGCACATTGGTTTTACACCACCATCACAAACTGTACTATGCATCGCAATCAAACCGCAGCCTGCAAAAGGTGGAGCAATTCATATCCGTTATGTGTGGGCAATGAACGGAATCACACCGACAATCTACGGAAGTATCCGGAAGTGATGATAATAGATCTTGCTTTGTATCTGCGAAGGTGGAGGAAGTCCTACCCGTTATGTGTAGGCAATTAAGAGGTCGTAATGGCAATCTATGCAACCATCCGTAACAAGTCTACTCCTGTATCTGCGCAGACACACCCTCTAGATGCAGGGAGACTTTCGTTTGGAGCATATCCGTTATCTCCCCATCCAGTAGTTCGCCAAGTCCCATTCCATCTCGTACATATCGCCAGTCGTCTGATTCCGGTACGTAATCATAGCGCTTGGGACCACTAAAAATTCGCGTTTCATGAGTGGACGTTCATCGGCGAAATCAGGCATGCGAAGCAAAAAAAGAAGTACATCAGTGTGAAACACCATCAATCAGGCGGACAAATTCGACCGACCTGAGTGGGGAAGACAGCCATATTTGCTTGTTCGGCGGCTGCTTATTGATCACGTATGTCCCATGGGTGCCTAAGTTGAGCGTCAGGACGCCGCTCTGCGGAAGAAGCGAAATAGTGAGTCAAGGGCACGACTACGGAGCCAAAATTCTAGTATTTTCGAGCATACTTACATGATAGTCTACTTCATACGCGCCATTTCCTACTGTGTCCAGCAAATCCTCGAGCCGTTCGAGTAAAGTTGTCATGGTCGCGTCGGCAAGTGTGTGATACCGCCCTATAGATAGATCACTGCATGCAGTATTGGAAAACAATTGGCCATCTTGAGTAGGATGGAGAAAGTAGGAGCGGACCTGACATTGACCATGGGGGCAGGTGTGCTCAATGTCCGTCTGCACACGTAAAGGCGTGTCGCTAGCGGAGCCCGCGTTGTCAGTGTGACATGTCTTATTAGCGATGACATTCTATTTGCAGCTGCATTCTGCCAATGCAAGCTCGTGCTTTTTGGAATGCGTTGAAGTAGGTTGCGAGGAAGCATCATGAAGCAGCACGGACTAGCCGTGAGAACGACTTCGAATAAGAAACCTCGAGGTTGGATCACGAGACAACCACGAGCAGCTGGTATGAGACAAGGAGTAACAAATGAAATGTTCAAACTTCTCGAAACGTCGACAACGCTCTCGAAATTCACGCAGGGTTGAAAATTAGAAGGGTCATTTTAAACTCATTTCATTCGCTATGGAAGAAAAAATATTCTCGAGGGCTGTATTATGCATGTTGCATTATTAAAATGCGGGGAAGTACATCAAGCAGTGGACCCCTTGCCTCCTCCTTCTCGTGACGTCCACTCTAGCCACGACCCTTCATAATTAAGAATGCTAGAGAAACATGGGTGCACGTTTTATCAAAGCACAGTAGAGATGGCCAGCCTGCGATCACTTACTTCTCGTATCCATTCCTCCGTGCAATATCGCATGCACTAGCACTCCTCATTCCACTACGGCAGTAGAACACGACTTCTTGTTGCTTTCCTGGCTTCTCGAAACCGTGCTGCGCCTTGAAGGCTTGGGGCGCAAGGTGGAACGAGTTGGCAAGTACCGAGAGTGGCAGATTCACAGAGGATGGAATAGAGCCCTGCATAACCTCGTCGGGCTCACGCACGTCAATCAGGTATGCGTCCTATGAAAGACAGGGTGGAAAAGTGGGTAGGTACAGGCACAACATGAGAGCGCGACGTACTGCACTGGGACTGAGGGTCTTGGGTTTTACTTGCTCGTATGTGAGCACAGGCCCTTGCCAATCCTTTTGGAGCTTGTCCTTGGCCTTGCGAGCAGCTTTCAGAGCGTCATCAGCTTTGCTCGACTCGTACCGTGCGAAAACCTGATAGGTTGGTCTCGCGGCTTGACGCGCGAGTAGCCTAGGGCGTGCTGAACAGCGGGTGGTGTTTAAAAGTGCAGTTCGCAGCATCCTTGATTTCCTATAGGGTGCAGGTAATATCAATAAGCTGTTAAAACATAATGTCTATCATCCACGAACCTCCGTAAGCTATTGCGTGATCCGAATCGTATTAGCCAACTTTTCACGTGATCGATCCGCTCTTTTTGCTATTGGTTGTCGCAGAAATGCCGCAGTCTTTCCGTTCTCTTACCCGCCAGCACTTTATCCTTCATACCTTCATCTTCCATCTTGCCTTCATCACTCATACCCATATGTACATCGTGGGCTTCAGAATTTCACCTCGGTGCTACAAACATCTTATTTTAGCGGTTTTGGACGTCTTTCAGTTCTTAGGAGCGGGCTAGCGAACGGAACTCAAAGTAACCACCAGCATTGTGTTTTTTTTCTCCTTGACACCTCGCAGTACAGGTGGGAGTGTTATCCTCAACAAACTTGTACTGCGACGTGCCATTGCCTCACGACTCATTCTATCGGTCATCTCGCGGGCTCCATGTTTTCTGGGACCTGTCATCTTTGCCAATTGCATTCCTCGTCCCCACATCTGTGTGGTCTAGGTTACCCGCGAAAGGATTTACATGCACGTTGCCATATCTTTTGATATTCCTCTCGAGGTCCTGCCAGGGTCTTGCTCACTTCCTCATCGTACCAAGTTTTTCAAATACTGTGAGAATGTGTTTCCATTCCCAGCGTTCAGTTGCTCATCATTGGTAGCCCTTTGTAGTCATGGACAACGTCAACCGTGGACAACGCCAATTGGGTCTTTATGTCCTCCGCATATCCCGATGAGCATGGCTGTACGGCCGCAATTGTACCGATCCGGTGAACCATGCACAGTCCAGTTCATGCCAGCTCACCCATTTCCCCGAGTACGTTCCATGCGGTAATATAAATTGGCCGTGACATGCGAGCGTTATTCTCCGAATCTGGTGGACGCGGCGCAGTCATCGATTGATATCATATATTATCTGTCCAACCGCTGCTGGCAAATGGTGATTTGCCGTAGTTTCGATAACGGTTCTGTGACGGCCTCTCCCAGGGAATTTCGTTTGAATGGCTGATTCAGCTATGGCATGTTGCAAGAAAGGTCGAATCTCAATAACTTCAGTGACAGAAACTTCACAGGATAACTCGCTATTCAACGCTCAGCTTCCGGCATTCATGAAATTTTGTGACTAATGTTGGGTTGCCCTGAAACAATCTTAGGATTGCCTGATATAACCAAATCTCGGCAATATGCGAGGACTTGTCCCACTTTTAAAGCCTTGCGATACGTCTTTGCTTCCCATCTTCTGTGTACGGTCACCTTGAGCTCTTGAATTCACCATGGATATGAACTCTACTGCTACTACTACTACGGCGACGACTATGATGATGACGCCCTGGTTGCATTTCAGTGGCGGAGACTACTTGATTTTTAAGACTTGGATGCCTGAGTCGAAAGGTGCAATCGCCGGCGCTTGCATTGGGCTGGTCGCATTCTGTATTCTTGAACGTTGGATTGCGGCGTTCCGGCGTCAAATGGAGATTCAATGGGGGTCAAGGTTAGCTCTGCTTAAACACACGGCGTGATTGATGCTGATTCGCTTTGGTTAGAGCGCTTGCGCTAATCTTGCGAAAGCAGTGTAATTCAAATGATGTCGACGATAAACCCAAAGACCCCTCTGATAAGATAGATGTAATTGAAGAAGGATGTTCCTCTCTTCCAGCCACCCCAGTGACAGTCCGCAGTCGCCCGAGGCTTGTGCCTCCCTTCATTCCCATGCATGATATCATACGGGGGGTATTCCAAGCTGTTCAATCACTGTTTTCGTACACCCTGATGCTGGCCGTCATGTAAGTCCTGCAACGCATCCTAAGGAGTTAAACTTAGCCAAAATAGGACGTTCAATGCCTCGTATATCATATCCATCGTTTTGGGTCTTGCCATAGGCGAAGTTTTGTTCGGGCGAATTGGTCGGGTTTAATTCTATCTGACACACAGTCTGTTTTTGATTACTTTGTTGCTGGGTCCTTGCTATCAGTCGCTTTCGTGTGGGTAGCTTCATGGTTGCCAATTATGTATTAATTTTTGTACACTTCTCATTCTTGTAATCTGACAGTCGACTATGCAACCCATAAGTACTCTTACAGTGGGAACCTGATTCATGTTCCAGGGCAGCTCATGATCCCATGTGATCATGCGATTTGTCGCATCGGACAGTCGGACTTCCAGTGGGATGGTATGATTTAAATGTGATTCAGCCACCATCATGTCATGGGTTGCATCCCTGAGGCTACCGGTTTGGCTCTGTTCACATATTTTCTGAATCCAGCTTCGTCTATCGCAAATACAGGTCAGACAAACAATGGTTGGGCTGGGACCGAGCATTGGCTCGGTTCGAACGTTGGCTCGATAGGCGTTTATGATTATTGAAGCTGGTAGTGGCTCGTGTACGGATATTGAAATATATAGTAAAGAACGAGAACGACATTATGATGTGATTGTATTAAATCCTGGGGGCGAAGGTTGGGCGAAATTTTGTGAGCGAGCGAGGGTATTGTGAAACGAGCGAGCGGACCGTATGATGAAGAAAACTACAGGAAGTTCATGAGCTGGACGTGTGTACCGGTCCCCTCCGGTCGTTCAGGAACATGGTGCCTTTCACCTGAAGGGCCCAAGAACCGGTTTGCAAACAAGAGCAAAGAAGTGTGAAAAACTTTTTCGTGAGGCTTAAATACGACGGAGCAGACTGAGTAGACTGGAAGCAGGCCTTGAATTTTTTTCTCGCGAGTCTGGTTTATCTGATTGTCGTCAGAATGATCCTCCCTTCTATTGCTGTCGCTGTTGTCCTTTCCGCAGCTGTACAAGCCCACTTCCAGATGCAATATCCTATTCCACGAGGTCCTTTCGTCGAAGACTCTGAACCAACGTTCTGCGGTGAGCGTAGAATAGTCTAGGCGTCTGTGTACATGTCCTCATCTGATCTTACGTAGACGGTTATACCAACGCTGTGAATAACCGTACCATATTCCCCCTTAGTAACGGGATCATCAATATGAACAGCGAACATCCGTTGTGGACAGGTGGGCCAAAGGGGGCTGCTCTTTTTTTGCGCAGAAGCTGATGGTTTCAAAATGCAGCGGAGGTTATTGTCTCGACATATCAAAACCCGGATAACTTTAGCGATTTTAATTCTAGCTCTGGTTATCAGACTGTAGTTCCATTCTTCCAGCAAAGCGGGGAGGGGCTGTACTGTTTCCCTATCGACCTCGCAGCTGCAGCAGTGAATGTGTCCGGAATTGAAGACGGCGCGAACGTTACTATTCAGGTTCTCTTTAATGGCGGAGACGGTAATCTCTACCAGGTAGGCAGTCTTTTTCTAACTCTTTTTTTTATGACTATGATTATTGAAATGAACATTGTGACAGTGTGCGGACTTGACTTTATCTGCCAACATGACGGCTCCGCCGGCTAACGCCTCGTCTGGTTGCACGAACGTATCTGCTACTACCAGTAGCAGTGCTGGTAAAGGGGCAGTAGAAATTGGATCGGGAATTATCGCTGCAGGAGTACTTAGCATGGCGATGATGCTACTTTCCGCTCTTTGAAAGGGTAGCAAACGGCATTTTCTCGAGGCAATAGCAGTGTACTTCAGTACTACTTTTATCAAATTTATGTACCGTCAAATTAACTTGTCCACTCAATGGCCCACTTAATTTCAATTGAATTGACTCATGCCAAGGCATGATTGTGGCCAGAACCTGTTGTGCTTATGTAATATAATTCGGATGACTAAGCTATGTCCACTGAAAGATGTGTTTTGAGCGGGACTCCAGCAAACCTGGACCAGCAACTTCCCTCTTGCTTCTTACCACAACATCATGTCCGGTCTAGATGATGACTACGACATACAGGATCCAATTCAACAGGAAAACGAAGAGGAGGACAATGAGCAGCAGTCACAACCAAGGGCGAGTGAGAAGCCTCGAGGATCCATTTATGACGCATTAGATGGTGAAGACGAAGAAGAGGAAGACGAGGATGAGGAGGATGAGGAAGACGAGGAACCTGGAAGGGACCGTGGGCGAAAGCGCGCAAAGGTCTGTGCCCTTGCTGACCTGCACCGCTGTGTGTATTAATCTACTGTAGCACCGGCACAGACGCAATGCTGTGAATCGTTTCCTTGATGTCGAGGCCGAAGTCGATACCGAGGAGGAGGAAGAGGAGGAGGAAGATGAGGCAGGGGGAGGTATGTTTCATTTTACTAGCTCGTTCATCTCCAATACTCACAAACATTTCATCGTTCTAGATGAGTTTATTGCTGATATTGGGCCAGAGGGTGATGAAGACGATGCGAATAGACGCGCAGCGGTCAATGCGCGGCTGGATAGGCGAGAAAGGGAGTTGAATGATCAGGATTTGGCCAAAATTGCCCAGAATCTTCACGAGCGTTATGGTCGGGCAGCAGTGCGGTACACGGGAGACATGAATGAAGTACCACAGCGCCTGCTTATGCCATCCGTGCATGACGCAAGCTTATGGCAAGTTCGAGTCAAGGTGAGTTTTTCAAAGATTCTTCCCGATCGCTGAAGCTTGAATTATGTGGCAGCCCGGTCGCGAACGCGATATCGTCTTCAGTCTCATGAGGAAAGCAATCGATCTCGAGTACACCGCTCAGCCTCTCTCGATCCTATCTGCATTCCAACGCGACTCGCTTCCCGGTATGGTATACGTCGAAGCGCGGAGTGCCCAGCAGGTCAACCAGGCTTGCAAGGGTCTTGTCGGCGTGTACCCGAGCCGTGGCATTGTACTGGTTCCCATCGAGGAAATGGCTAGCTTACTGCAAATAAAGAAGCAGGACCTTACTGTGACACCCGGAAGCTGGGTGCGCATCAAGCGTGGCAAGTATCAAGGTGATCTTGCACAGGTCATGGACATCACAGAGAACGGCGAGGACGTTGGACTCAAATTCATTCCGCGTATCGACCTGAACCCACGGGATGATGCCAACGTTGATGGTCGGAAGCGCAAGAAGGCTGGTACTGGGTTGACGACGATGCGACCGCCACAGCGGTTCTTCAACTACGAGGAGGTCGTCAAGGTTCATGGGCGCAAGCAGGTCTCAAAGCGGAACCAGGTTTACGTCTTCCAGAATGACACATACAAAGACGGGTTCATCGAAAAGGACTTCAAGCTTAATGCTCTGCAGCTAGACAACGTCAACCCGACACTGGACGAGATTACGAAGTTTAGCCGAGGGCAGGATGGTGCCGACAATGAAAATCCGGTGGATCTGTCGATCATTGCGGAAGCGTCGCGGAAAGCTGCCATTGCTGTGCTGCAGCCCGGTGATCACGTCGAGGTATTCGAGGGCGAGCAGTCTGGTGTCTACGGTGTTGTCGATTCGATCAATCAAGATGTCGTGACCGTTACAGCTATTGGCGTTGATATCGATGGTCAGAAGGTGGATGTTCCTGCGCGCAGCGTGCGGAAACGCTTCAAACCAGGTGACCATGTCAAGGTAATGACTGGTCAGAATGCAGACGAGACGGGTCTTGTCATCTCAGTAACAGACAATGTTGTGACTTTCCTATCAGATATGTCGATGCAGGAGGTGAGCGGAGCTTCGTTAACTGTTATTTGATTTATATCAATATGTTCGCAGGTTTCTGTGTTCTCCAAAGATCTGCGTGAGGCCGCCGAAGTCGGTTCTGGAACCAACGTTGTTGGCAATTATGAATTGCACGACTTGGTCCAGCTTGAGTAAGCCGATCACCTGGCATCTCCGCATGTATTTATCTGATTGTTGGTGTACAGCTTGCAGACTGTCGGTGTCATTTTCAAAACCGAGCGAGACTCTTTCCGTGTCCTTGACCAGAATGGTCAAGTAAGATTGGTGCAACCTCACCAAATCTCGATGCGGCGGAATTCTGACCGTGCAATTGCTACGGACTCTGAAGGTCACGAGCTCCGTGTACAAGACAACGTAAAGGAAATTGAAGGAGAGGTCAGTCCTTTGTTATAGCCTCTAATAATCCCGCAGTTTAAACGCTTTTGCAGGTTCGTAAAGGCCGAGTGTTACACATTCACCAGTCATTCTTTGCCTTCCTACATAACAGGGACATCCTCGAAAATGGTGGTGTATTCGTAACCCGGTGCCGCTCCCTAGCATCGCTTGCTCCAAAGGGCAACCTCGTTAAGCCAGGAATGGACTTAGGCAAGATGAATCCCACTGCTGCTGGCGGCGCTCAAGGTGGCATGGTTGGCTCTGGTGCAATGGGGCGCGGACCACGAGATCGTGACATTGGTGCAGTCATAACGGTCGTCAAAGGCAATCACAAGGGGTACAACGGTATCATCAAAGACATCAATGGTACCCTGGCGCGCGTTGAGCTAAATACTGGCAATAAAGTTATTACCATTGAAAAGCAAAAGCTATATCGGAGACTGTGAGACATTTGCTGTTGGTGTTGATGTTTTCCCCGCTTACCTTTAATCATAGTCCGGATGGCAAACTGCAGCCACTTAATACACCCTACCATCAACAAGGCCAACAACGAAACATGGGTCCCCCAGCCGGAGTCCCCAGTCGGACTCCGAATCCATATACTGCTAGCCGTACCCCTGGTTGGGGTGGCGGTCGGACTCCGAACCTTGCCAGTGGGGATGGCAAGACACCTGCATGGAACGCTTCATCACGAACGCCAAATCCATACACTGCTGCTGATGGTGGCAAAACCCCCGCATGGAATGCCTCGTCACGGACGCCAAATCCGTATGCTGGTGGTGATGGTGGTAAGACTCCCGCGTGGAATGCGTCGTCGCGGACACCAAATCCCTATAGTGAGCCATCGTGGGGATCAGGCGGCTGGGGTAGTGCATCGCCTGCACGTCCAGCGGACTCGAGCTGGTCGTCTTGGGTGAGTTCCTTTTGAGTTTCATCTGATTAGGGACTCATGAGCAATCAGAACGCACCAACGCCAGCTGCTGCGGCAACTCCTGGGTTCTTATCTGCACCGACCCCTGCTGCATATACAGGCGCACCTACACCGGCAGGCATTATGAATGACCCTGGTTCAATGTCTGCACCTACACCAGGTGTTTCGGGTAACGAAGATGACCATGACTCAGACTTCGGTACGCACGATCAAAACAATTGAATGCCTTCTATTTACACAAGGAACAGGTTTGGTGCTACGTGACCCTTTGATCGCGAACAAGAAGGTGGTGGTGGAAATTCGAGGCTCGGCAGATGCAGGATGGCTCGACGGCGATTTGGAGTTCAAGAAGGGTTATGTCTCCTCAGCCTTCGCTTCCTTATCTGAGATCACAGCACTGTTCCACCCTCTGGATTCGCCAGGGGACCCTCCAGTTCACGTACCTACAATCTATCTTCAGCCTATCCAGCCAGAGGAGGTAGAAGATCATGCTCTCGTTTTGCGCGGAATTCACAAAGGCAAGCATGTTGTCTTAAGAGAGAGTGCAGGACATGGAGTTTGGAAGGTGTCGCAGTTCCAGGACCCGGAGGCATTCACAATTGACGAGGAGAAATTGGTGAAGCTCTACCATGTTTGATTGAGGGTTGGTCTCTCTGTTGTTTTTACTCTAGTTGTTTTGCTGCTACACTAGTTTCATCTTGTATAAATCCCATTTTTATCGCAGACAATAAAAATGAACTGTTATAGATAGACCAAACACGTGTACTCCTGAAGTGGCGTGCGGCAACAGCAGCAGTGCTTGAGATTGATCATTTAAGCTGCTTCTACGGTCTAAGCTCTGGCTCTAGTCACTAGCCATGGAATCCAACCCATCCATTAGCATATCGACAATACGAACTTTGCACGCTCCCCAAGAAGTATCGGAGAATATCCTACTAGTAGTACAATCCCAGCCGTCATCACCAAGGTCAAGCGCCCTAGCGACTTCCCCAAACAGCCCTTCTGAGTCGGTATCCTCATTACCTTCTGTCAGCTCCTCATTCTTCTTCTCTTCTGCAGCTGCCAGTCCACCGCGTTCGCAGCCTCAGTCTAATCACTATTCACGGGATTCTAGTACACAGGGGCTTATCATACCGTCTCTGACCCTACCAGCTCCGTTGCGTCGTCCCACTCCTTTTGGAAAAACCCTTGGAGATTTAAAGTTAATAGTCGTAGGGAATGGTGCTGATGACCGTGAGCTGGTATCCCATATACTCTTGGACGACAACGAGGATGTCGTGGATATCAGTGGATGGGAGGATTTCGAATATGGTTCGATTCTAAGAGCATCCACAGACTGGATTGAACATCGAGATGCCCACGGACTTGAGAAGTTTGAGCCTGCGAAGAATGTCGAAATCATATCCCTCGCACGACACGAGTTCGATGACAATGTACGTCATGATATGTGTGGTGACTTGACTCGAGTTAACCTCTCCCCCCAGTCAACGAAATCTTCCATTTTACCAGTCATTCAGTCGCCATTTCACTCAGTATCTGAATTAATTGATCCCCGATGCCAGCCATCTGCTGCTCTGGCTAACTTAATTGCATCACCGTGGTCACCATTGCACACCGCGCTCATTATCCTATCCAACTCAGGTAAATATTAGTTCCATGCATTGTGGTTGCTGCTTCTGATTTTGCATTACACAGGCCCGTCTACTTCGGAGGACGGCCCCATTGACTTACTTACTCCACATATACCTGTCATACTCATGCGGCATGGCCCAGATCATACGCATTTCCCTTCGCGCCCCCACATGTCCTCATTCAGGCCACGTTCAGCAGCTGCTCTTCGGAATGGCCTTTTCCGCTCGCCGGAGACCCTTTCTTCATTACGATACGAAGCAGCAGAGCGCTTCCTTCGCTGGCGTGAAGTCGAGTGCGCCGTAGAAGGAATAAACGCCTCCCATCGAGAAACCATTTCCTTGTCCTCCAATGAACCTTTATGGAACAAAGCGAAATGGGAAGCAGAATGGGAATCTCGATTGTCCCAGGATGTTGCTATCTCTTGCGAGCGCGAAGACCCCGTGAGGGTTCCAGCGCAGCAGTGCTTTGATCCACTACACTTATCATCACTACTTTCGTTCTCTTTGTGCCTCCTTGATCCTGCGACGAGATTGCTCAGTAGGAGCGTTTCTACGTTTGTCGATAAGTTGGCAGACAGCCAAGTCAGGATAGCAATGCTGGGCAGTTTGTGTTTGGGAATTGGGATCGGGATGATGATACGATGAGGCACGGCATTTCAGAAGGAAGTTTGTCATGAGGAGCGTGCGTTCACCTGATTCTCGTATACATATTTGCGTTAATTCTGTAATATCCGTTTCATTTCATCATTACTTACTTACTGCGCACCTATTAGTGGTAATCGGAGTGCACGATTCAGAGACAATTCAGCGCGCGATTCAGAGGGGTTCAGCGATTCAGTGCGCGATTCGGAGACAACTCAAAATTTTCGAACTGCGTGAAAATTGCTAGGCACTGAGGCATTCGAGAACAGATCTGTGTTTAGGGGTAATATTCATTCTAGACCGCAAGATTAGATTTGCGTACATATTCATGGTTCTGTATTCTCCCGCAATAGTCAGAACTCCAATGAACGGACCACGTTGCGGCACACATCAAAATACGAGTTCAAGGACGTAAGCGATCACCCACGTGTCATCCCGCCGACCTTGCTTGACACCAAGGTGAGCGATAAAGGGTCTGCCTTGTCTTCATGGCATGTGGTGACAGTGACCATGGTTGCGGCACGGGTGCGACGCTGAAGTCCATGATGTAAAGCTGGAGCCTATTTATGTTACGACGAATGTAACCAAATGCGAGTAGATACACTTGATGTGGGAAATCTACAACGATCAAGTCGGCCAGGCAGAGACGTCAAGACTGCACCAACTGCTGCAAGTAGACATTGATTGGCGCATAAATTCGCAGGAGGGCTGTCGCGGGTGCTTATTTTACTGACTGGAAAAAATCGTGCAGATAGGCCTCGGCAAGAAATAGGGTTGCTTTGTGTGCCTCGGGTATTGCGGATTGTACCAATACGATGGCCTGCATGATTGGCGAACTGAAGCACGGCGGATTACCGATATGATCACGGTAGCATGCCGCCGCATTTGCCACACGCGCAAAAGTGTAGATCGTTAAACCATGAGCAAAACCAAATGGTGTAGCAATTTCCCGTTTCCGGGAGCCGCGGCAAAGAGCTTACTACCGTAAAGCCATTGTAGATCATAAGCACAGAAATCCTGTATATGCAGGATTACCCATGCAAACGATAGATCTTGGAGAGGTGCCATTGATTAGTACCATCGGGATCATGGTCGATATCACACTGTGCACACATGTGAGCACTAACCACCAAGAATGTACGTCCAAGAATTGCCGCCGGCCTATGATACCGAATGACTGCACCAGGTAACTATCTACCGCGCAAAATTTGGGGCCCGCTTACAGGGAAGTGCGTAGGTTGGACAAACGTGGTGATTGAGTACCTTCCAGCACGTGAGAAATTAGAATGCCTCAGCAAAAAATGGATAATGTAGAACGAGGATATCTTGCCCGTCGCCGCGTTTCTGGCGCAGCGTGTCGGCCCTGATGGGTTTTATCGAGGAAAACGTCAAACAGCACGAAATTGCCGCGCCCTGATCGCCTTCCTCTGTGACGGTCGGTGTGCCTTATGTACAAGTCGGTCAAAACTAGGTAGAGGAATAGATAAGGCAGGTATGGCCAAGCAATCGTCTGTTCTGAATGCACGAGGCCCTGTTGGTAAAATTCCGAGTCAAGGAGGTAAGTAAGTACCGCCGCAGTACAGTCTGCAGCGGCACCGCGGTACTTAGAAGTCTCGGTCATTTGCCGCTCTCCCGGACCACCCTCCGAACCTAACAGACATAAACAACGTCGGTGAGCTGGCTTGGTCAGAGATTTATAAGATTTATAATTGGGATTCTCAGACTCTAAGCGACCAAACTCCGCGGTGCGATTCTACTATCTGCAGCACAAGTGCACTCAGTGCACTTTTCTGTTAAAACCAGTGTCAAGCGACTCAGCTCTCCTTTTTAAGGGAGTATGTCATGGATCACCTTATCGTCCCTCACTCATTCCCGGCAGAATGCGAATTTTTTTTCCATATCGAAGCGATCTGGAAGTAATTCTTGCTTCATGTATGAGAATCACATGCCCGAGCACTGCCCGAGAAGTCATTCTTTGGCTTGCGCAGCCCTGCGGCATGGCTCGGATATTCAGAGGGACCCGTCCTCGGCTACGGATTCAAATTCGATTCGTGCACGGACATGCGATAGTGTCATCATAACTTGTCATAGACTGTCATAGAGCAGGACATATTTGCCTAGAGACGGGCCGTTATTGGTGCAGTGAAGCGTTCCTATTTCGTGAGTCAAATGATGACATACTATGCCTATACGAGCCTTGTCTCGGCCTCATTCGATCTTATCTTGACCAAATCAGCTAGTCCTGCTTAGTGGACTGACATAGCGCAGTCGCGCCCCAGGCTGCTTACCGAGTGGCAGTGCCAAGTACAGTCTTACTTATATTACTGTATCGAACCGAACAGCATCTTCCTCATGTTAGCGCGTCTGCTAGAGTTATCAGGTTAACCTTCTTCGCCGCAGCCATGAAGTGGTTTCGCCGAAAGAACGAGCAATCATTGGGAGGTTGTAGGTTGCGAGTGTATCGATCCTGTGCCGATGATCGATGAAGACGATGGTGCGTTGGTCTGGTCCTGGGCCTGTGAATCATTTCCTATCAAGCCATTCCCCATCCCTAGAACTTGATATCCTGCGGGTCAGAGATACGGCCACGTGTGGGACATACATATTTGACCTCGGGAAGCGTTCGCCCCAAGGCTCCGATTATTGCAGAGCGGTGCTTTTTGCCAGACAACAGTTGCTCCAGGAGATTGTGAAGAACAGTTACAACATTTTACTTTTGGAAAGGTGAGTAATTTGATGTAGATTGCAATAGGAAGTTGCCTGATAACGCACATCTTGACAGCTGGACACTAATCCTTTATCGCAAAGGAAAGTCGCATCGTATAGAAGTGCAATATGCGGGGCGACCGGCACACGTGTCAGGTAAAGCGCCACCGTTTCGCCCTCCACCGTTCATGGCCGTCTTGGAGTCGCAGCATCTTTTTTCGTAATTCGTTCACCACAATTGTATTTGAAGCCGAGAGTCCAGGCCATCATATCCCATCGTGTATTTTATTTCTGCCTCATGCTGTCCTACCACATACATCCTAATTCGTACATCCTTGCTCTACACGCCTGTCGGTCGCAAGGAACATGACGCACCATATCCAGAAATGAAGGCCTTCGCAAGATGTGACGATCCCAAGGACTAAGGGGTATCAGCGATTCATCGTGTAAAGTTACCTCAAGGAATTTGCAAATGTCAACTCTTAATTCTGGTGGCCCCTCGTGGTAGGGTTCTCGCCATCAGTGGGACACCTCGGAAAGCAGAAAGGTCCTAATAGGCCATAATTCAGTCCCGCACATATATAAATCCAACAGCATCACATAATGGCGCCGTAATCATCACTATTCTTAAAACTGCTCTCCTACCTCTCCTACTCATGGCCCTCAAGGACGTCTTTTCTCCAACTATCATGGTTCAAGTCTGCAATCGCGCCTTCACCAACTTCTGTCATAATCATCTTGGTATACAGATACATCAAGTCCACAAAAGTCATATACTGGAGACTGAACGCGTCGAGAGCTCGTCTGGGCCGGCGCGTACACACGCATGTTTAGCGGATTTGAGACCAACAACTGTTGGTCCTAGAGTGGAGCACAAGGACGAGTTCACCTGCAAAGGGGGTGTCGATGCTGGAAGACTTGTCAATCTAGCTCGAAAGGGCTTGTATTCGACAGCAAGGGAGATGGGCGGTAATGTTCTCCTCGAGGAAAAGTCAGCACATCCTGCATCTTTGTCCCATTCGCTGCTAACCCACGTCATTAGATGGGACTGCGAGATCCGGCAATCCTAGATACCAGCGCCGCGACAAATTCAAAGTCATAGTGAGTGTCCCGTTCCGTGTTAATTAGTACCAAGATCGAATCCTCCCATAGATTCATTATTCGGCGACGGTAGCTCGATCATGCAGGCCTGATGCACAGAGACCCGTTGAAATTGAAGCAGCTAAAGGTATAAGGGGATTAATGACCGTTATAGATCGTCATCCGGAATTTTGAGAGAAAAAAAAAGTTGTTAATCCACGGACAGCGTGGGTAATTGTTGAGTATCGTATTTTTAGCCGTGGAGGATTCGGCAGATCACTGTATATCTTAGGTCCACATTAATAGCAGGAAAACATGGAAATAGCAAATGGTTATGTAGCACCACATTAGTAGCTCATGTATATGACGCACCAACATAATGACAGATAGTTGATTTCAACGAGAACACATTTCAAGGTCTTCCATATTTGTGGCAAGGATTAAAAAAAAGGGAAGATTTAGTTTTCCGCCTTCTCGATCTTGCTAGATGCCCGACTCGCATATCCGGTCCAAGACTGGCAAACATTAATAACCCGCAAAAATCTCGCGCAGATCATGGCTCACCTCATCATACAATGCTACATTTGGGACACTCAATAACTTCAGTCCTAACCAGAGGACTCCCGCAGTCATACCACTTCCACAGGATGTGATGATTGGTCGTTTGCCTTGCATGACGGCTTCCGCGTGATCGCCTACGTGGCTCACCAATGCATTCCGTAAATCCGGAAGAGATAGGAAGGTGGTGTATTGTACGGACGAATTAGGGATGTTACGAGTCTGCAGGAATGCAGTGAATGGCAATGAGAACGAATGAGGAATGTGACCAGATGATAAGCCTTGGCCGCGGCTCTGGGTCTGTGCCTAGGAATCTACAAGCGTACGGAACTGTAAAACTCTGCCCGTAAAGTTCGCTATTAGGTTTGCTCACCGACCACGGGAACGAGCGTCAATAACGAGCTCAACGGCTGGGTCCGAGTGAAGATCCGTAAATGAGTTTGACACCATTTGATCGTAGGCTGTTGGAGGCCGCGAGCTTGGACGACATTGGAGGATAGCGAACATGAATCACTCACACCGTATCATTCCCTTATCGAAGACAGGAGTGGGATAAACGGATTTACTGGTACGAGCTGGGGCGTTAGCCTCAATTGGAAAACCCTCTGCCTCCCAACGTGGCAGACCTCCGTCGAGGATACTCGATTTCTCGTGGCCAAACGCTCTAAACATGAAGAGTGCACGTGGTGATGAAAATACTCCATGCGTATCATATCTGCGCAATGATATAGTTCAACGGTTACACTCTGATGGGAGAAGTGTGAAACCGTACAAAATTACATGAGAAGTGGGGTCGATTCCGAAGGCCTCTGTTATGGAAAAAAAGAGCATTAGGAAATGTGATTGCAGCCTGCAAGTCACTAATTGATCATACCGCAGGCATCGGCAAAGTGACGTTCACTCGGAATCATATGTTTGAGGCCAAGTTCATGGGGAGAGGACACCTCATCAAGGTCCAAAAACTGCGCACCAGGGATGCGCTTCTCTTGAAATTCCTCATTGGCCTTCCGCGGGGAATTGGGCATAAACCAGCTAGAGTCCAGGATCGATACATGTTTGGTATCAGTAGAAGGCAGCAACTGCTGCAGCTGCGATGGTGATAACAACAATGGCGTCGACATCGATCTTGAAAAAGCCCTCTTGACCGTCAAGGAAGTTATCGAAAAGCGTTTCCCAGCTACATTCACGCCATTCCGACTCAGCAAGGCCAGCAACATGGCAGTTGAATTTTAAAGAATAATATTTTTTGAATTTGCATTGATTTCACCATTTAAGTCCATATTGGGCGGTATAGCGTTCGGTGCAGTGAACGTCGTGACTGAATCCAACAAAGTACGACATGCCATCCGACCAAAGCACTTGGTTGATCGCAGTACCGCAAGATGGTGACTCCGAGGGTCTCCTACCAGAAATCACAAGCAAGCTACCTCAACTTACGACAGTAGCAGAACTTGGCATTCCCTCATTCAAGGTCCTTCATTTCGTACTCATCGGGCAGGGGCCAAGGCATCTCATGAATCGTCGTGTAGACAGGGACATTAGACTCCCTGATCGCCCTGTCAGAGGAGCTGCCAAAACAAGACGCGTTCTTTACGGCGACTGTCGCAAAGATTGTGGACACACTCCGCAACTTGCTGAATAACGACCCGACCAAGCTTGTCCAACACCTCCTCGTGAATGAGGGCAGCGTCGACGAATATGTACTTCGGGGTTGGAAATGGAACGATAGTCGATATGGGGTACAACGGAGCTTGCGAGAAATGGTCGATGTCCTGAACAAGGTACTAGTGTTTGCCGTGCATCACTCCTGCAGGGGAAGGTTACTCATTTCCGTCCAAGGAAATGGCCTCCATAGATAATGTGATGAAGGCCAAACTAAACAACTACAATATCGTAAAGGGCTCCCTGGTTCAGATGCAGCGCAAGAAAACGTAAGCACGAAACTCAACGCATAGCACAGCGCTAATCACTCCTCAACACAGCGGAAACCTCTCCGTACGATCCCTCGTAGGCCTAGTATCCGAAGAAGACGTCATCCAGGACTCCGAATACCTAGAAACATGCCTAGTTGCTGTACCAAAGTAGGTGACTCCTACATGAACACATGCCGACTCGAGCGATTCAATATCCACCCCAGAATTCTCGTAAAGGAATGGAGCTTGAAGTACGAGCGATTGACTAACATGGTCGTCCCCCGTTCGTCATCGTATGTACCATCCATACCTCTGCGCAAAGGCTCATATACCCCATAAAAGACCTATAGCATCAGATAGCGAATACACCCTCTTCGGCGTAGTCATCTTCAAACGCGTACATGACCAGTTTCTCCAGAAATGTCGTGAAAACAAGTACGTCCAATTCCACCCACCGTACTCACAACATCCAATAATATCCCACCAGGTTCATCGTTCGAGACTTTACCTTCTCAGAAGAACAAATAGCCAAAGAAGGAGACGAGCTCGAATTAGCAGACACAACAGAGAAAGAACTCTGGGTAAGGCTCACCATCGCCACCAACGCAAAAAACCCTCGTTCTCACCGCCTCACAGACAGAGCTTCTACGACTATCTCGGACCAATTTCTCTGAGTCTTTCCAGATCCTCGTGCATCTCAAGATCCTTCGGCTATTTGTCGAGAGCGTGCTTCGGTACGGTCTACCCGCGAATTACGTTGGTTTCGCTATCAGGGTGCGTTACGTTACGTTTAATTTTACTCTTCACCGCATCTCGCATCCACTTACAGCCCGAGCCGAAGTCCACCAAGAAGACCTTCTCAGTACTCACCAACCACTTCAGCTACCTCAGCCCCCGCTCCTCGGGCCGTGCCCAGAAACAAAACGCAGCTGACGAGTTCGCAGGAGAGTACCAATCTTTAATGGAACAAGAATTCTTTGATTTCGTCTTGTACGAGGTACCATGGATCGTGCTCTAGGGATCAAGTTAAATAGTTCTATTAGTGGAAGGATAACAATATGACCAGCCCCACTACTGTAGAAATATCATTCGATGTAATGTACAAAAGAATATGGAGTGAGCGAGCAGGTTGAACCACGTATAGGACAGAGCAACGGAACCGATAAACAACTAGATCGAGCGCTAGTGTTGATTGTAGACAAGGAAGTAAAAAAAAACATCAATGTGGGTTCGGATGCGTGATATCAGTCATGATGAGTGCGAGATGTGAAGGGAACGTAGAGAAGATCTCCTGGTACATTTTGAATAGATCCTGTGCTGGATAGTCCCTAGGCAGAGCAGACTGAGACTGATCGCGTGCGAGCGAGAGCAGAAGAACAAAAAAAAAGAAGAAAACGATACAGATGCAGTTACAACCCGAGGTTCGACATCACCCTCGAAACCTCATCAACAACATCAGCATCGCTCCTCATCGCAGCTCGCTGCGACGAGGAGCCAATGACAGCTGATGACCGCGGACCATACACGCTCGGGAACGACGGCGCCGTAGCACTCGTCGGACTCGAATCTCCACCCGCTGTCGACGTCGTAGGCGACTCAGGCTGCGGTAGCCTATTGCTCGCCTCTGTGATACGAGAGAGCGAATACGTGAGGTCGAGCGACTGCGCCCGGTTCTGCAATGATCGGGGCTTGCTGATCTGTTCCTTAATTTTTGACTCGAGCAGCGAGTCTGACCCGCGCTTGAGCGCGTCTTCGGTATTTCGTGGTCGTGTAGCCATCCCCGTGCCCTGAGTCTGTGTCATTAAGGGTTTGGGATCGGAGATAGGCGACTTACGATCGGGGGGTAGCGGTGTCCAGTAATCGAGGCCCGTTCCTGGCGGACCATATGCTGATTGAGAGTCCTCATGCTCCTCCAGGTCGTATATGTATGCAGGAGCATTAAACAATGCTTTTACGTCTGGCGATGAGTTTGCCATCCTCAACCTCCGATCGCCCAGTATCTCCGAACGGGTAAGTTCAACCGATTCTATAAAATCAAAATCGTTAGCACCTACGTAAAAAAACACCAAAGACACACACCATGCCTCCTCGCAGTCGACAACACCTTACTATCAAAGTGCGGGAACGCCTCCGCGAACGAATCACCTCGTTTATGCGTATGTGCCGTGGGCGACGGGTACACATGGACATTATGGTTCAGCAAGAACTGCTCCAACAACTCCCTTGCCGCGAGCAAGAAATCTGAATTGCTCCTCTGGCAATGGAACTTGAACGAGTACTCGCCCACGTCTCCGACCGCGACTGACGACGCAGAGGCGCCATTGGTGGGGCTCGACGTAGATGCTTTGACGTTCGGGGTGATGATCACTTGGAATTCGCGCTTGATGCGCTCCACGAAGGTTATGAAGTCGGCGGATGCACAGACTTTGGGTAGATCAGCGCTGGGTGGGACCGCCATGTCTGCTTCGAAGGGGACGTGTTCCTGCTCTGACGTCAGAACCAAACTCGACATAGCAAAGAATACGTACCAGCAACATCGCAGCAGCGATCTGCACCTGACTCTCGGGGCCAAAAATCGTTACTACATCCGAAGAGGTCTCCTTGTCAGGGAATCGTACGCGCGAGTTGGTCTTGGTCTCGATATCGTGTATGAATATTGCCTTCTCGCCAAGCAGCACGCGGTGGTATCGCCGGGGAATTGATAGCGTCTCGTTCACATAGTCCTTGTCCTGCGCCTCGTCAGCACCCACCTCCCAGATGCCAAGAGTAAAGGGATGGAAATAGATAAAGGGAAAGAGGGGACAAACGGGTGATGGGTAAAGCCGGACGCACCTTCGGATTCACGATCTCCATCACCGACTGCTTCAGGTTCTCCAGATTGGTCGCATTCTTCGAGGGCGTCCTCGCCACCACATTGTCCTCATTATCATTGTACCCTCCCAGAGCCGCAAACTCCTCTGCGTTGCTAAACTTGACATACACCCCATACTTTTTCATTATCCGCTGGATATTTCGGCCGCCAATCCCGATGATGCGTTTGTGGTACGCCTCAGGTACATGGAAGGATATCTCCGCCGGAAGCTCTTCTTGCAAGAGAGTGAGACCAGTGAGCACGGAAGCGTCGTTGCCAGAAACATCAATAAGGAAGTTGTGATCGTTGAATGTCTCAAATTTGATCTTGACATTCGTCGTCTGCATGATTTTGTTGATCTTGCCGTTCTTCTTCCCTGAGATGAATTCTCGGTGCTCATTGGCTAGCTCGACTTGGAAGCGAATCTCGTGGTGGAATGCCTGGATTGTGTCAGTGCATGCTCAACTTGGCGAGGGAATAAGGCGCACCTTGACGATGTCCAATTCTAGAATCATATTCACCGCAGCGCGTACCTCGTACTCTAGACCATGCATCTCGAAGCACATGCTCTTGAACACGACTTCTGCACCAGTCGTGAGTGAGATTTGCTTCAGGAGCGTGGTCACTTGGGAAGAGTTGAGGGTTGTAGGCGGGAGGAGGACGTTGAACTGGATGGGTAGGAGCCAGAACGATGCGACGTAGTATTGGCAGGCCTGAAGTCCCAGATGTACTGAATGATATTAAATAAAGAAGAGAAGAAGACGTACGAGTTGCATTATAGACCGAATTGTACGCTGCACATTCACACGGTGGTCCCCGAAGACGGTGATGAGGCTGGCGGAGCTACCTATAGGCGGGAATTGGACAAATGTAGCATTGTCGCTCATGATAGACTTGAGGTCTTCTGCTCGGTCGAGGACCATCCAGTCGAGTTTGCGAGGGACGATGACGGTGTCGCGCGAGATGACGGATTTTCTCTGAGGAGACGTTAGAAAGACGCATAAGGGTTGGCTGACAGACGGACCTTGTTAACGGACAACTGGTACAACATGTCCCTCGCTCTTTGTACTCCAAAGAACTCGCCGGTGATCCATATGATGTTTTGACCCTGGCGCACTCCGGGTGTAGGTGTCGTGTTTGAAATGATATCAGGGCCCACCAATGCCTGCAAGGGGGAAGGGAAGTAAATATTTGTAGCAGTCTCCTCCTGGATGCTCTGGAGGACGTGTCTCTTCCTCCCTGCGACGATCGCATGGAGCTTCTGGTCGATCTCGCACATTTCGGAATGAAGACCGCTCTAAGGGCATTAATACGTCAGCCAAAGATGAAATGAGAAGAAAAGGGGTGTAACGTACGAGTTCGTCTAGCATGACCAATAAACGGACCCTTGCTAATTCCGTAGCGTCGCCCTGACCTGTGATGACGAGTTCGCATACACGTTCTGTTTCGAGACCGCTCCAACCTGCGCTATTTACGCCGTCTGGGGGAGTTCGGCTACTAAGGGCAAGAGGGGAGTTTACTACAGCGATATGAGCGAGAGTAGCGCCTGCGATGTCGTCCAGTTTTCGACGGACGTCGGATTTGAGGGTTGGTTTTGAGGCAGGAGCGTCTAGGATATCAGCGCGGGCGACTTTGATTGCTGTGCGATGCTGTGCAAAAGATGAGATAATTGAAGAGAAAAAGAGAGAGAGACGGACCTGAACTGGACAGTCCTTGAGTAGCATACCACGGGCAGCCATGACCTGCTGGTAAGGACCGGAGATATAAAAGTTGCAACCGCGGTGAGTATGGTCTGGAAGTAGATAGGAAATGTGTAAGTTGTGGATGGACATTGCGTGTATAACGAGTTTGTCGACATCTTCTGGAGGTGCTGGGTCGGGTGGAAGAGAATTTGGGAATTCTGAGTGACTATGGCGTGTGCGACGTGGATGAGTGAAGGAAGTTGAGTAAATGTCCATTGTTGTAGGATAAGAGAGAGAGAGAGGAGTAAGAGGGGTATGTTTCTGAAATTTAATAGGAGGGATGGGGGTATCCCGACGCACGAAAAAGAATTACCAAGTTGGAACTTAAAATTGTGATTTAAACTGGTATCACGCTGTGCGTCGAGAGAAAGAGAAGAGAAAAGAAAGGAAAGAAAGTAAGAAGAGCAAGTCAAGGTGGAGGAGGACGACGACGACGTTGACGACGTTGAAAATGCACCGCTGGGTTTCAATTTTATAAAATTACAAAGAGTCACTGCACAGACCAACGAGCGACCCGACTAGACTAGGTCACTATCGATATCATCAAACAACTTTTCGAAACAACTCTTTCCTATAGTATTGAAATGCTTGTATGGTTCCAATGGTGATAGCTTCTCTCCGCATAAATAACAAAAATGTTGTTTACACTTTATGCATGTCATCTGCGCATCTGGGGTAATAAAGGGGGATTCACAGAAGAACGTTAAATACTCACATGATTACACCCCACACTCTTCTCCACTTGAACCCCGCATCCAGGACATCCCATACTACACCTCGAAATCCACTCACGAGTCAATCGATCCTCCTCGTACTTCAAAACAAGCCTCTCAACATTCCTTCTACCCCACCGTCTCTCGATCTCAAGCCGTCTAACATCCCCCTCTGCCAACCCCACATACTCCATCACAAACGATTCCGTCATTTGCAACGGACAGTCGCTGATCGGCCCGTGCCACGTTCGCCTACAAAACGCACAAAACACAAACCCGCACCTCGGACACGTACGTAACCTCCCCCACCCGCTATCTTCGTCCTCTTCCGGACTCGGTACAGGCGTCTGGCACAGCGCTACAGGACAATGCACCATCCCAGGATCCCGCTCTAACGCCCTCTTGGCTCTGAGCCACTTCCACCTCTTCACCTCTTCCTCGTCAACCACTCTTGCTATGTCCTCCTCGCTAGCCTCGTGTCCCGCTTTTACGCACACAGGATCAGGGCACCCGACACGACCGATATCACCCTCCCTTATACACGACCCCCAGAAATCTGATAGGCACGAACGACAGAATATATGGGTACATGCAAGTCGAACGCAATGCCTTCCTTTGTGTGCAGACAAACATATCGCGCAGGGAAACGACGTTTCACCAAATGCAGCATCTTGGGCGTGGGTGTTGTAGGATTCGAGCAGTGGAAGGAGGGAGGGGTTGATTATCGTGATGTTCCCGGGTTCCAAGAACTCTGCTCCGCTGATGAATGCTACCCAGGCATAGAGAACCCCTGGCGAATCATGCGTCCACATTCCAGCGAGCTGCGTGTACAGGTCACTGCTGGTATACCATCCATGCGTGCACATCAGCGATGTAATACGGGGTGGTGCACGCAACGGGTACTCTGGCGGAAGGTTCAATGCAAGCAAGAAAGGCGGCAGTGCAGTAAGCGGGCTTGTGTGAGAGTGATTTTGAGATGATACGATAGACACACTCCGTGCGGGTGACAATTCTACCGGGATCTCTAGCTTGACCGTACGCCCAAAGGGCCCAGCATCGTTGGATATACACACGTCTGGGTAGATCGACTGCTCGTCCAGCCATTAGCATTTAATCCCGTACTTTAATTTCGAACGCACCTTTAGTACTTCCCACTCCTCCTCCTGCATCATAGCACACTCTTCATTGACAATACACTCCTCATACGGGATACCCTTCGAAGACATCAAAGCAGGAGAAAAAAGAACGCGCAAGTGAACTTTCCACGGGGTGCCCGGTGTAGTGATAAGTCCCGAGTCAGATACTTAGTCCGAGTCACGTGCATCCGCATTGGCCGCATCCGTTTCTCGCCAGACAAATCGTGGCCACTGGTACGTTGAACCAAGGTTCCAGGCCCAATAATAACGTCGGGTCAATGTTCCAAGTCCTCAGGCTATCATCATTTGCATCATGATCCGTAATCATATTCCCAACCTGCTGCAAGCGGCGATCGACCCCTCGTCAACACGCTGCAGTTCATCTTTTCCCGACCCTTCCATCCCAGTCCAACTTGAAATTCTGTTCCGTGCTGCGAATATATTCCTGATCTGAATGACTGTCACTCCCGCGATTCTGCACAGCCAGAGTTCCTCCCACTTTGTATGAGAAACTGACGGACACGATAAACTCCAGCCGTGAAATTGTTGCTGCCGGCACACTGCAAAGCGGAGCGGAGTGGGACCGTCAATTTTTGGGAGCGAAGTTGGAGGCATCAAAATCTCGGCATGTGACCAGTTCGGAGGCTGTGCTGAATTTGATTCGTGGAGTTGCTACACGCACATGCCGGCAGGGTTTTTTTTATAATCAACAACCAACTTCTCTCATTGCTGTGTTCACATTGATAGCGGAATGACATACACAGAACGGCAGGGACTCGGACGCTCGTGATCAGTACATTTGTCTCATGGCCGGTTCAGCCTTACGATCTTCCAGTGGACTCGGAACTGCTGCTGCACGGGTGATGCATTCGTATGTGCGGCAATATATAGTCTGTCGTTCCGGTCACCAACTTCAACTGATCCGAGGCGTTGCCTATTTTGGTCATATGTATGTCCGCTGTCAACATGACGTTTACAAGCATCTTCGAATCCAAGAGTTTTCGTACAAGGTTGTTGATAAGACCAAAATCGTCTGTTAGCGCACATGAACTGGTCACTACGTATACCCTATTTGCAACATACCATTGAATTTGGTCACAACCGACAGACCGACGTGCTCACTGCTACGACCTCCGTGATGTGGAAAGCAAGAGGAGGTAATTATATACCCTGCTGATTAGCGAAGGGCTGTCCAAAACTTAACGATCATTATGATAGACGCTGATTTGGCAGAATAGATGCACACGATGACACAACACTGGGAATAATGCAAAAGATTCAGGCGAAATTCACGACTGAACTAGCATGCTCAGGCTGATCACTTCGTGAACATGTCCACGCATATCCTACCCAGGCGAACCATAAAGACGTGGTCTGTGCTCATAGGTTATTCGTTGAAACCTGGAGTTGGTCCTTGGGTAAGTAGTGTTGAGGTGGGTATCTCCGACGGTAATGCATTCACTGGCAGGCTCGGGTATGAGCGCTAGTCAATTTATCTTGTCTTTACACCTATCCACGTAACCTTCATTGACAGATGCACACAGGAATGAATCTATTGCAGATAGCCATGGCGATGTGGGCCTTATCATTTGAGGTCGCGGTGACTTCGCGCACATATAAAACACGCACAATGTCTTGATTCTTGACATTGCCCTCTGTTCCTTTCTACAGCAATTTAGTGAGTCATTTTCTATGAAATACTGGCGCTACTAAAGGCCGCGGTGCTGGTTTCTAGTACACCGAGGATATTCGTACGCATCGCATCTACCTTGGGTAGCTGAAAAAGAATGCGTTTACACAGCTCTCAGGCATGTAAGTGCAATAAATTGCACGTAGCTTTCTGCTTTCTGACCCATCCCCCCTGCCTACTAGTAACTCTCTTACTATTGGTGCACTCCGTCGACAAAGTCGTTGGACTGGACTTGTCTCAGTGTTTCAGCGACATCACGACGAATGCAAGTCTTACCAATAATTTAGTTGGCCTCCTCGATAGCAACGGTTATCCCGTGTCGAATATTTCCGACGCGGCAGCGATCAGCTACTCGCTGTGCACCTCTGTCTGTGGGAACACGCGGGATTTCCAGTGGCTTGCACTTTCGCAAGATTTCAGTTCGTGGCTACTGCCATATCTTGCATTGATTTCGCAGCTCCCCTTTGGGGCACAGTACAGGTCTGATGATATCATGTCTGCTATTTTGACCGTCGGCTCACCAGTACTTGCTGGTTACTCTCTATTCGTCACCCTCCTCAATTCTCGCTGGATCAATCACCGATTTCGTCAATTGCCGGTGAAATATCCCAATTCACATTTCGCACTCTCCATTGTCAGCAGCCTTCAGCAAGTCCCGCTAGATCTGCATTCCATTGACTTCGCCTCTCTTGTTGTCCTTCCGGAAAACGACTGCTGGTGGAAAATTTTATCTCAGCAGATGAACTACACTCATAAGTGGTCAGCTGCGTCCGCAACCTCCATTGCCTGGGTCATTATCGCCTATATCCTGTCTATAGCCAATTCACCGTCAAATGCTTTTACAAGCACTCAGGCCGACGGTGGAGCCACTGGTTCAATGTGGCTATGGTTGGTTCCAATAGTAGCTGGATGGCTGGTACTATCCCCGAAATGCGATTTCAATCGCTTACAAGCAGCTTATGATCGTGCCGACGAACATGCGCACACGGAATCGACAAATGTTCCTGCTGGAACCTCCACCCAAAGAGCTTTAACCATAACTGCTCAGGATCATGAAGTGATGTCTCCAGACGAACTCCTCACTCCTCCGGTGTTTAATTACTCGCGCTCGTTGCCATGGGCAAACACAGCAGACACAATGTTCCAGGTGTTCGAAGCGGCATCAGAGAAGGTTCGAAACCGTATTCCCGTCAATAAACCCGACGAGGATGGTGTGTGGGCCAGCGATTTAAGATCTGCTATCCACCCCGACAACCGACGTGGGACTCATGAGCAAATCAGAGCGTATTGTGCGATAACTGCGCAGCGCAGCCACTGGGTGCCTGGAGTGTTCACAAGAATGGCTTTCGCGTCATGTGTTTCGCTTGCGTTACAATGGGGAACAGTTGGAGGAGCGATTATAATAGAGTGGTTCACCCCTACGACAGTGCGTTTCCTCTGGTATATGTGATATCATGTTGGCTAAATTCAAGCAGGGCATGGGGTGTCGATCTCTGAGTTACTTTATTTATGGAGCCGTATCGACTATCATTTGGATGATGCTCCTGATCTCCAGTATTCTCGCCCACTATTCTGCAGCTTATTCCAATCGAAAACCATCGTCTGCACGAGAATCACCGCCTCGACAAGAACCACTGTCTGCACGTGTTTCTCTGGCACTCTGGCACTGCCTACGAAGGATGGGCAAACTGCTGGCCATTACAAATTCCGGCTGGGTGATCACGACATGCATTCTCCAGTATTCCGACATCTACGATACATGCTTCTGCAATTCCAGCATGCTTAGTAGGGGGGCTGCTGCATACATCACGATCTTCGAAACCTCAGCCCAAGCTGCATTGGCCAAGAGTGCCTGGTTCGGTGCCCTTTCCCTAGCGTGTGGCTCTGCGTTAGCTTTCTTCGTCATAGTGGGTCTTTTGGTGGATACTATTCCGACAGAACCATCGTTGTAATTCATCCTAAGGTGCTGTCTGACAGCCCCCGTGCAATATACCTTCCGTGCAATATACCTTTGACTTACTTGTTCTGATCTGCGCATAACTCCTGACGACACTCATTAGTTTTTTCTTTCTACAGTATAAATACTTGGTTTCACTCTGTCAATGTTCATGTCATAGATCCTAGTACCTTACCCCCACTCCTTATCTCTTACTGATTATTGTTTGTGTCTCCTCGATACTAACCGTACATAGTTTATGGACAACCCTTAGGAGTTGCACTACCTTGTTTTTGGACTCTCCAATATTTCAAACTATCTACATAGTATTCGGTCCGGATGCATTCTTCCACTGTTTCCTATAGCTATCTTTGTGTCTGCTGCGCTGTTTATGTTTGCAGCAATATTGCTTCCTACCGAAATGTGTTCGCGAATCTGGTGATCTGTACACGCCTGATCTTACAGACTGCGGGGAAGATGAAGATGGCTTTATAAGTCTCATGCACACGGCAGACTCCAAAAGTTTGAATTCAAATTCCGTGTCCAGTTGTAAACATGCATCAAATGATCTATTTATGATCAGTCGTAGATCAAATTAATCCCAATGAAACAAAACAACATAAATGAAAGAACTTCAGCAGTCACTATCGCGGGCAGGCGAAGTCCCTGAGACTTGTCTTCCAAATCTAATGTCACCAGGGGGTGCTGGTAACTCTGGGAGTGATTTATGAGATCTGGTGTTGTCTCCGAGATCATTGGAGGTAGAGGGCGAAATGTTGGGGTCCGGGGTTAGCCCACGTGCAGGAGTATCCACGACAGAGGCAGTAGCTTGGTGGAGCTATGGCCCGGTTAGGTCCTATGAATAATGAGAGTAGTAATTATTATCTGTTTGCGGGCGCCAGAGGATGAGGTTTTAGTAATGCCACTTCACGGCTGCGGCTATTTTCACCTGGCCCTTTGTAACCTAACACTGCATAGTAATCGTAGTGTGTAGTCAAGTGATCAATAGAAGACCTCCAGGTATCCTCATGCGAGAGCTCGCAGTCAAGAGGATCATGATAGTTACAGGAAGGCACTTAACCGTGACTAATCACTCCTTACCTTGATTTGAAACCCCGATCGACTATTGGCCGGGAACTTGCCCCGTGACGTCGACAATACTTATTCTGCAACACCACCCTGGTGGTTCCGAACCACACTACAGCTACCTTGACAAAATTGGAACCATATGGGGATTACTCGTCATCGGAATGAGTGCCTCTCTTTGGATCAGCTCGTCTCTTGGAAAGTACGTCCCTGACCTTTCCCTTCCTAGTATTCCCTAATATATGGTGCGTAGTAGCACCAGTAACGCTGAGTACTAGTACATACAGACAACCATCAAGTATCTTTCGAGAGTCTTCACTGCCGATGCGTACGGTCGGATCCAGCATACAAAGTCTAGGTCGTGGTTCGGGCAAATATTGATACCACTCCACAGCTATGTATAGTATCATGTGGTTCGGGTGACGGGTCTAGTTGAGTTCCTGGCATCTAAGCTACGTGTATCAGAAGCAGATGCTTACCGGTTCCATGGAGGGCCCAGATTTCTTGACACGTACGGTGACCTCTCTATCGGTTTGTACGAGGACTTTCCTGGACCAGATGCCACGAAAGCGCTAGTAGGTCTTGGATCCCGCCCATGCCTTCTGCGCCTACATGCATTCAGCTGTGCTTAACATGTTGACCGTGACTAGGTTTGACACTATTTTAGGCATTGCCTACTATAAGGTATGTCTCCGAACCACTATGTAGCCTAGTGCTGGCGGTTGTGTCAAGTTCGTACGTCTGCAGTTCAGATGCTCTGGATTGTTTATCCGCCAACCTTTAGTTCTGCCTATACCCTCACCCTGAAGTCCGTTGGCAAGCGCAATCCATTCTGATACAAGTACCGAGTACTTTCAAAAAACATTTTTTCTACTGGGATATAAATGCAAGCCGTCTTCCTAATGCTAACTGCCACTGACAGAATCAGAGCTACTGTTTCTCTTGACATCACCTAGCACGAGCCATGCGTTTCTCATTCCTCCTCGCAGTTGTCGCGTCTTTGACAACATCTATGTCTGTCAGCGCATGTGCGACTTTAAACGGGCTATGTGGCTCGAGCAGCCCGGAAAATGACACATGCTGCACAGGCCTTGCATGTACGACGGGTGTGAGTACGAGTCGTTCGCTCTGTATTCAACCCCACGACTCACCTTTGAGCCTTGTACCAATAGGACTTCGGCTCCAACCTGTACTGCCATTAACCCTCTCCAGGTTAGCTTGGCAGACTGAGCATGTCGCAACAGTGAGTCGTGTTTCTTTTGCGTTGTTACAGTGGTTGATCGCACGATATGCAGTTCGTTGCGGAGTTGATCGATATGCTTATTTCTATACATGTTTTCCTGACGCCTCGACAAAACTCCTGAATCAATTACTATAGTGTTTATAAAAGACCTCATCATGTCATTCGACTTGCGTACGTTTTACATAACGTACAAGACAACTGGTGCCTTCAACCAACATCGAAGTAGGTGTACATGACGTTTGAAGATCATTCGGAATGAAGAAGGGGCTAGTGTGAATGGCACTCGAACTGCACCAAATATTCTGATGGATACTGCTCCTGAGCAATTTAAGCGCGGAAACATCATGTGATATTTGTTCTTTCAATTCGTGGCAGTGCCGCATTAATGATCAGTACTAATTGACCTCCATGATACTGTGCAACGCTTGCAATTGGCACTCCTCTAACTGATGTATCTACTTGTCTCTGAAGTCCTCCTGGGAGTATACTGCTGCATCTGAATGACCAATCGTCTGTACTCGAGAAATCATTCTTTCAGAACTCCTGCAGTGCATTGCAGAACATGCAAAACCTTTTACTGACCCTTGCAATGGATTTGCTTTGGGGCGACATGTATGATCTACTGCTGGGCTGTGTAGCAAGGCTACACAAATGATATATCGTAGTAGTGCAAAGGTCAGCGCGCATCATGCCCTGTTCCAAATTCATTAGCTCACTGAGCAGCTAAACGCAGAACTTCCAGTCCAAAGGCATTGAACCATTATCTGAGCACGATACCCGTAATTTTTTGTTTCAGGCTGCCTGCGTACGCTCACTGCCTGTATCATTCTGTCAACGATCATCTTCATTTTCTCTCAGTTGCCTCTCAGTCCATTCCGTAGCTTAGTCATTTGCCTTTGTTCAAATTGTGCCTGTCTGCCTTCATTCAAACCCACAGATTCGAGTCATTCGACCGAGACGATAACTACCTTGCCATAACCTGTATCCTATCCTCCGGACACTGCCGTTGGCCAACTTTGAGGTATCAAAATGCTTCAAAGTTGGCCAACGATGGAAGACAACTTGGTCATTGGTATGGTCCTGACTCATTGTAGTAAAACCAATGCAGATAGCCAACTCATGCCACGGGCCCGTGCAGTTATTTTATCGCACCCTCGATTTTTGTTTCAAGTCTTCTATACGCGTGTCTTTGTCCCAGTAAGAACCACAAGCACGATCTCTGGGTCGGGACGTGCGTGAGGTGAGACATCATGATGACGTCGGTGCCATACAGCATGCACATGCCACTCCTTCCATGGGATGATTCGATCACTGCATTTTTCTGTCTCGAATTCGCATCAGTACTGGTTTGTTTACGCTACCTCAAATACTCGCATACACTTAAACTATGTCACCAGAGGATGGCGCATTCCACTCTAGGTTCCATGCATAGTTGCACTTATTTACTACTTTCTTGTCCACTCGAAGGGGTCTGCAATGGCTTTGCACATCAATGTAGCCAAGCTTGCAGGAGAAAAATCCCCTTTTCGACATGTCAAGAGATTGGCCAGATTTTCAACGGATCATTTGTTCGTTCGTTCATTCATTCATCAGTCATCGGAGCATTAGTCGATGGCTAGGTGGCGCATGCTTCTCGTCGGGAAGGCTGAGTGTAGTACCGGGTTTTATCTATGCGAGTGCATACTTTAAGACTGGTTAACTGTGTAGTCTTACCCATGGCATCGCTAAGATGATTGCACTTTAAATTTGTAACAACATGCTCACTACTACTAGTGGGTGACGAGAATGCGTCAAAAACGAGGAACGAATATTTACTTGTCAAATCATCACCACAGACTGTCCTCTGTATTTTTCGGTTCATCCAGTACGTAGAATACTTATTTTTCTTACCACTAATGCGTTTGCGAATGCCATTATAAAGGTGCTTATCTTATAAGTTGTTACCAAGGTTTCTACCGCATGTGTTACGACTTACGAGAGTTTGATTCGTTGGGTCATGTGACCGTCGCGTAACTCTTGGAATAAACTGTTTCGCGTTCTGGTCGTTTCATTTCTTCCTCTTCCTCCCGTCCTCGTAATGAGTTCGTCCGATTACGGATTTGACGATGAACTTGACTCAGCTGTTCTGAACGAACTGGACATCATCGAGGCCGCTCATCGTCCTCCACTTCGAAACCCTCCTAAGCCACCCCCGCCTGCGCCCAAGGCACCTAAACCTCTGGACGAAGAGGATTCGTTTTTCGATCTTTCTCTTGAAATCGATGACACGGAGCTTCAGCGCTTAGACACGTTCATTGATGCGGTATATAAGGGAAATGCACAACCAGTGGCAGGCCCAAGCAATCATGCGCGGCCTCCTTCCTCCAAGAATACTGTGCAACGAACCCTGTTCGGAGCTGTTGCTCAACCGACTGCATCTTCTAGTAGGCAAAGTCCCTCTAAACGCTCCTCGCTCCAGCGGACAAAGTCGAGTCCCCGCAAACCTTTTGGCCAACAGGCGCCTCAGACGAGGCAGTGGGACCATACTGTGTTTGCAAAGTCAGGCTGGAAAAAGCCAAAGACCGTCAAGGGCAAGGGAAGAGATGATGGAGATGATGACGAGGAGAACGTCGAGTTTGAGCAGTTCCCTGCTCCATTCGTGTCAGGTATGTCCAGGGTCTTTTGGTTCGTTACAACTTATGGAATAGTACTGATACGCGTCTTTAGTTGGGTAAGCGTGTTCCTTGAACATTGTCGTACAATTCTTACACCGCACAAATTACTTCGTTATTTCCCCAGACCTGTGTGTATTTTGTCACGGCACGCACCCTATTCACTGACGTTCCTACAGCCACCTCCTATGAAACTCAAGGTCGACATGCTCGAAGCTAAACATTGGATTTATCCCCTAAATCAACCAAAGCGTGATTATCAGTTCAACATCGTTAGACATTGCCTATTTGACAACACCCTCGTTGCATTACCCACCGGACTGGGAAAAACTTTTATTGCAGGCGTCGTAATGCTTAACTGTGAATCCCTCACAGCTCTTCTTGTCAAACAACATCTAATTTCTTCCCAGTCTATCGCTGGTTTCCGAAGGGAAAGGTTGTGTTCGTTGCCCCAACAAAACCTCTCGTCGCGCAACAAATCGACGCGTGCCACCGCACGTGTGGCATTCCTGGTTGTGACGCAGTTGAGCTCACCGGAAACAACCCTCGAGCATATAGGTATAGGATGGTCTGTATTTGTTTTACGTGATCGATGTTTAAACTGACTCGGATTTTTGTAGTGGGAGGAGAAACGGATATTTTACATGACACCACAGACTCTCATCAATGATCTGACTACGGAAAACTGCGATGCGCGGGATATCGTCCTTATAGTCATTGGTCCGTTACCTGCAATTAATCATATTCATTTGGTTTACTAAGGGAAGGGTGCAGACGAGGCGCATAAGGGAACAGGAGACTATGCCTATGCACAGGTCATTCGTTTCTTAATGGCCAAGAATCCCTATCATCGCGTGCTGGCATTAACAGCAACGCCCGGAAGTACACCTGAAGCTATCCAGAGCATCGTTGATTCACTGCACATTAGTCGCATTGAAATTCGTGATGAAAGTAGTATTGATCTCCGCGAGTATATGCACAAGAAGGTCAGGGCCAAGCGCAAGTTTCGAGTCACACAACTGACGTGAGGATCGACATCTGGTATCTAGGAAATTAAACAGCACATCATCAAGATGACCGACGATGTTCTGAAAGCTCAGGAACTCCTGAAGGAAGTAATGATAGTCAGTTATCCTTCTTTTGGTCACTCTTATTTGACGATGACGTACGGGTAGACCATCCTTAAACCACTCTCTAGCAAAGGAGTTATAGAAGTGGTGGATCCAGTAAAGATGCACCCTTATCGTGCGCAGGCTACCATGCAACGCATTGGGGCCCAACGGAACAGTCCCCATAAATGGGCATTTTCCTCGCTGTCCAAGCTCGGTGCATTAGCGCGTGCTATGGGGTACCTGGTGAGTACTCCTTACGGCGTATATCTGTCTTACCTAACAAGTCGCGTGCGCGGCTAGATGGAAGCCAGCGTTGGCATGTGTCACAACTGCCTGCTGGAAATTTCTACTGAAAAGGAGGACGATTCAGGGAAGAAAAAGGGTTCCACAACGAGTGGCTTGCGCAAGGACAAGAATTTTATGGCTCTTCTTAGTGAGCTCGAGGTGCAGAAAGTCCGTCCGGGCGGGTACGGCATGCACCCGAAGATGGAGACGCTAAAGATGCTGCTGTTGCAGCACTTTGGGGCACGGATGGGCGAGGGGGAGGAGACAAGAGCTATGGTATTTGTGACATACCGGGAGTGTGTGGATGAAATCGTACATATCCTTAATGAGGAGAGTCCCCTCCTGAAGGTGACGAGGTTTATTGGGCAGGGCACGGATAAACAAGGCCGCAAGGGGTTTGCGCAGAAGGAGCAGCTTGAGGTGGGTCTAGAGCTCCGTCCCTGGGTGTATGCTTATAAAATCGTCGAAATAGGTGATCAAGAAGTTTAAAGCTGGTGAATTCAACGTGCTTGTCTCTACTTCTATTGGCGAAGAGGGTCTCGACATCGGGGAAGTTGACATGATTGTATGTTATGACGCACAAAAGACGCCAATTCGCATGGTGTGTAACATTTAAGTCATTCCTTTTACATGTGTATAACTACTCTTCTGTCGTAATGTGCAGCTTCAACGCGTCGGACGCACGGGCCGTAAGCGGGATGGCTATGTCCACGTCCTGCTCTCCGAGATCCGCGAGGAGTTAAATTGGGACAAAGCAAAGGACACATACGGCGAGTTGCAGAGATGTATCGTCCGCGGTGATCAGCTTGAACTTTATGGCGACATCCCACGACTCCTCCCTGAGCATGCGAAGCCCCAAGTACTCGAGAAGAGAATGGAGATCGAGGAGTACGTACGCCAAGAACGTGCTTCGCGAAAGAAGAGTGCAGTTGTCAACGACGAGAATCCGTCTCCGAAGGGCAAGAAACGCAAGCGGAATGATGATTTTGCTAGGAATATACCTCAAGGCGCAAGCACGGGCTTTGTCAGTGTCAAAGACCTGCTTATCAAGGGCGCAGACACGAAGAACAGGAAGAGGGCAAAGACGAAAGGATTTGATCCCACAGCTGCAGAAGATGACTCAACAGATATGGAATTAGAGGCTAATCTCATGGATATGCGTCGTACTGCCTCGACGCCTGCTGGTGTCAGTACGCAGAAGGACAAGTTGCGCAAGGCACGTACGATGGATCCATCCAAGAAACGACAGTCGGCAACGTCACGCAAGAAGGGGAAGGAGAAGGAAAAAGAACCATTGAGCACCAGCCAATTCTCGCGAAAAGGTGATGACGACGACGATGATGTCGAAATCGAGCAGGGCGTTTCACTAGCTGCTCGCGGGGCCATCGCTCGTAAAACCCCTTCCCCCCTAAAAAAGCGGCCAGCTTTGCCCAGATATCGCTCGTCTTCACCTGATGTGGCTCCGGTTTTGGCTCGAGACCGTTCGAATGGTTGCATAAAACCACCTGCGGTCCAAAGTCTTTCCTGTCGTCCTACCGAAGACGATGCGCTACTTTTAAGCTCCTCAGAGGCGGAGAATCCTTCAGCGCCAAGCATGTTATCTTCGTCGTCGCTGATTTGCGATGCGGATGACGTGATAGAGATATCATCCTCCCCGCCGCCACCCCAAACTAACCCTGATCAAGCCGCAGAATCTTCATCAATGTCGTGTGGTCCCAGAAACTCTCCGACCGATAAGTGCCACAAACGGAATGGAAGGAGTCGAGAACGATCCCCAGATCGCTCGCCATCACTGCTCTCATCTTCAGACGGGGTGACGGGTAATACACAAAGCATGGCGTGGCTACTAGGATCAGATGATGAGCCTGACATCCAAATTCTGTCGTCCCCGCCCATGACACCACCGCAGGAGCGCAGTCCTCGCGCCGCGAGTCGCGCAGATCGCCTATTTGACGATGAAAGCGTTATGGACGGAAGGGGTCTCTCGCCTGGGGCACATCTAATGCCACCACCTTCTCTACCATGCCGAGGTATCATTCAGTCACCCGCACACTCTTCTGATCACGACATTCCCGATGCCTCATTCGCTGTGCGACCCGCTGGGCGTTTTTTCAAGCCGCGTACAGCAGCCGCAGAGCTTAACTCACCGGCATTGGACATGCCACCTCTTTCCCAACGGCGTTTGAAACGAAAGGATACAGATGTCATTTCTTGGGGATCAAGTCCGCCCCCTAAGCGTAGCAAGCAAAAGCCGTTTGTATCTATGCGACATAATCCGTGGCTGGATGGAGAAGCGGCCCACTCTGGTGACGAAGCAAGTGAGGGATCGTCGCACTCTGAAGATGATGTTGAAAGTGATTCCGATCGCCAATTCATCAAGGACATCGCAAACACTCAGGTCTCTCCTTCTTACGATCAGTCACTTGCTTATCGCCGGGGTTTGCTCACACAAGCCCCGTTTGGAGGTCCCGTTTTTGCCACCAGACCGGTGAGGAGGGAACTATATGGCCGGGGTGAGAGCGCAAAACGCCGCGCTGGTGTGTCAAGTTCTCCCGTACGTGAGGACGATTTGCCAGACGAGTATGCCATCGGCAGCTTTGTCATAGATGATGATGAGGACATCATCTGATTGAAGGATATCATCTGGAATATCCCATATGGGTTCTGCAGTCGAGACTAGGTATGGTCTTGCATGATCCTCAAGGCTTTGGTGTCTCGTGCACTGACTCAGAGTTACATATAGGTGGAGAACTAGCGAATTGTAATATCTCTCTTTCCTTAACTTTAATACACTACATCGGGGATCCGTGTAATATATAGACAATGCAGTGGCTATTAGTATTAGTAACGTACATTTTGAATCCTAGAACTTTTCGATAACCGGCTAGCGCTGGAGATGGTTGCTGATATCATTCAGAGTCATTCTATGATAGAACCGCTTGTGCAATGCACCTTTCATGATCACTGAGTGACATGTGATCAATACTTTGAGTAAATCAGCTGGAGTAGAACCAATTGGCAGATATCTCGTTCTTTGCGCAAATAACGGCCAACTAACTGAATGTTTTCAGGCGGATTGGGCGACGGTTGATGATCGGGTTGTGTCCGACGGGGCGGGGCCCGCCACGTCACAGTTGCTTTGTCATACCGCACTAACGCGAGGCTCCCGAAATTTCCTCATCGTCGTTTACGACGCTGGCCCACTGTCCAGTTTCTCCCTATAGCGATAGCCGATATCGAGTAAATTTTGCGATTCCACACAACCCACACACCGTCTGGTCAAGTGGCGTCCAGACTCCACTTGGAGGAGCCTTACTATTTCCACTGCTCATAATTCTCCTGATCATGGATGAGCTCGTGCATCATTGTCTCAGAGAGCTTTCGTTCGACGGCGATCTTGGTACGTGAGCACTATGTAATCTCTTCCTATCCTCGGCATTTTTTGGAGTGCTGATCGCGAAGAGGATCGTTCGAATCCCCATCATGACAACTCTTTCCAAATATCCATTTTTTCGAACAGCATCTGATTTTTGTTATTTCCTGCAGGTTGTAACGTTTCCCGCTTGCGAGATTTCATCGTAGGATTCTACAGTCACGACGCTACCCACCCGCAGGTCGTCGACGATGCATTTTGCGCGTTTGTCTGGTCTATAGTTGTCCAGCAGCCCACTGTCCGCGTTGGTACAGTCCCTGTGGGCGTGTCATCCGAAGTGTATATCGCTCCTCAGACGAGCGCAAAGCGTAAGGCGGCAGCTAAGGGCGAGGTACTTGTCGAAGAAGCCCCACCGTCACTCACTCTCGTTGAAAATGCACGTGATAGGTCATTGGAGGACCTAAAGGCAGAATATGGCGAAGATCTCAGGATTGCTGTTGATCCAGAGACATCTTTTGCTGCAATCACAGGATCTCATATCAGAGTATGTAGCAATCGTCATTTAATTTAATCTGAGCTCATTTTCGCAGTCTTCGAAACTCAGTCCGATGGTTTACAGTGCTTTGCAACTCATCACAAGAGGGCGCGAAGAAGGTATTACAACTGTCGAGCTTGGACGCAAGACAAAGTACGATCAGAAAACGTGCTTTTATGTCATCAAACAACTGCTGGAGCTTGACTTAATGTATGTCTCGATCTTTCTCTCTACGAAACTCGTAATAATGTAAGGGTAGCATCAAAGCACGGCGAGGAGGTGTTGGTAATCACTCCTGCATTCACAAGTATTTTGTGGAGCGCAGCGCGTTCTGGCAACAGATTCAGCAAGAGGAAACCAAAGACGACGAGTCTATTGTTATTGGAGAGAGTCATCCGCAAGATGCAACCCCTGTTGAAGATGGGACTCCCTCTGCTGCACCATCGGAACTCGACTTTGAGCCTGTGGATTCCAGACATTTGTCTAGTCTTTCACTAATCAAAAACCGAATTGTCAAGTTGTTGAAGGCGTCGCAAAACAATATGCACGCATCAAATAATTTAATTATCACCATCGTAGGTCATGTTCAATTATAGTGCGGAGTTTTTGTTGAATCCCTGCAGGGCTTTGCGAATCCAACCAAGACAGACCGTCGCTTCTTTCAAACCCGTCTGCGAGAATTGATTGCGCAAGGAGTGATAGAACGTGTCTTGGTTCCGAGCTCCAAAGTCAAAGACAGGCTTGTCAAGTGCATACGACTTGTTGCTCCAGACAATCAACTTCCAGAGGGCGGTGTCATTCTTGCCCCTCAGGAAGGTGAGGATGACAAGGAAATCATGTTTGATGATACTTCTGGTGTGACATATCATTCATCTGTAGACTGTTCTAATTATTCTCTCAGCTGGTCACACTGAAGTTAGGGCAAACCGCACAATTCAAAAACAAGTATCAGATGTGCTTGAAGAAGCAGGGTCTTCCGGCAGAACTCTCCACGTAAGTCTCCATGCAGCGCGCTAGGGCAGTAATTTGACTCTATTCACAGGAAATCTGCAGCGCTCTTGGCAATTTTGATAAACGCACTATTGAGCTTCTGTTAACGCGAGCAGCCAAGAGTAGACCTCCCGCTCATCTCAGTGATCTCGGGACAGCGGACTTCATGGAGTCGTTTGGACGGGAAAGACGACATCGATATTATACTCTCGCGGCATATACAACAGTCATGGCCAGCGAAAAGCTCGGAGATACCACAACGTCATATGTTGATATTGATGTCTCAAAAGCCGGTGATTTTGCTGGGTTCCACGAGGCAATGTTTTATGATGACGATGAAACTCTCCACTACTACGAAGACATGTTCAAAGACAAGGAGGACGCCAAAGTGAAGACAGGAGCTAAGAAACGTAAAAGGCCAGAAACTGAAGATCCAGGAGATGACGAAGCGGTTGAGGATACGCCAGAACCTGTCTTAAAAGCCAAAAGGGGCCGCCCACCGAAAAAGCCACGTGGTGAGGAGGATGGTGACATCTCTATCCCTCCGAAAAAGCGTGGTCGACCTCGCAAAAAACCCGATTGCTGAGGAGGGTGATGGGACCTCGACGGTACGCAAGGTTCCCAAATCGCGCGGCCGTCCACCCAAACAGAAGCCCGATGCTGAACAAACCGTTTGCCATGCCGAAGTTCCAAGGCGTGAATCGATGAAGGATGTCAATGTCATTGTTCTTCCCGCACAAGTCCCGTCAGCGCCTCCATCAGAGACCAGTGGACACCCTCCAGAAAGCCCAGGTGTGACCGGTTGTAGTTAGTTATCGGCAAGGAATGACTTCAACCACATCTCATGTTGCCCCTGAGCCCCCGACTTCAAGCCCGAAGGAAGGAAGTCATTTGTTTCAGGGATCATCCGACTTGTCCTCATCGGCGCCACATGAGGATCCCAGCGACGAGCAACACCGTATTCGTCAAGCTGTGGCAGGTACCAATGTGCAAGCCGTAGTACCCGCGGCCGTCTGATGGCGTCGCGCTTACGACCGACATCGGCGACCTTATGAGGGGTTTTGGGCTTGTAGACGTGCACCCAGAAGAACCAAAATCCTGGAGTTTTGATAGAAAACCGGAACCCACGATTCGCGAGAACGATGCTTTCTCTAGCCGGAAACGTGGGTACTGCTGTAGAAGGACTGCCGGGTGAAGGTTCTAATAATCGAATCGATGAATCAGAAGTCGTTCGCATCCCACAGCAAGTAGTTGATGGTGCAAGAGCCGATGGATTATTCGACATGGATAACCGCCCCTCCGCACAAGAATCTATGATTATCGATCCTGTGCTGTTGGGGACGTCCCCTGTAAGTGAACCTCATGTTTGATTTCGCATCACTCGATTAATGTGACAGTTGATGGAGGCGGATGTAATGCCTACTGTGATAGGAGAGAAACGGAAGGGATCCCCACCACTAGCAACACCTTCCCAACCCAAGCGCACGCGAACATCTACGCCTGTTGATAAGCTCAAAACAAATCTGAACATATCTCATTTACGCCGCGAGAACGAATTTTTCCGGGTAATCCAAGACTTGGGCGGCATTGCAAATCTGCACACAAAACATTTTTTTGATGCGCATATGGCTCTGCTGAATGATATGGCTCAGCGTGGAGAACCTGCAAGTGCGCCCTCAGGAACTCGTATCGACAAGAGAACCGCAGACGCCACCATAAAGAACATGGAAAGCCGTGGCCGCATCAAAGTCCTCAAAACCACTGTATTCTCTGTCACCGGAAGCACTCGGCCTGCCTGCCTCGTTTATCTCCCAGACATACTTCAAGAGAAAATCAACGCGTTTTTACATCATCTGAGCCACACCGCCCCGGCGCCTAACATTCTGCCTGTCAAGACATTTCAGGAGCCTGTGGACTTTGGAGCTTCGAGCAGTGTTTCACAATGCACCACTCTACCCGCTTCATCTACTGCAAATAGAGAAATCCGGGAAAGATGATGATGAACATCAGGTTCTTGACGCTGCTAAGGCGGAGGAACTCTTCGCATACGACTCTGAAACGATCTGCGACGTGTTGCTTACGGAGAGAACCACGGTAGCGCAGTTGTATGGTTTCAGAGTTGGGAAAGCGGCTAGGTTGCGGGACTTTCATGTCTTTACCCTTGGGTTTGCTCGAACAAAACTCTTCGCCCCGTATTGCGTCCCACGAGCATTCCATGATCGACATTTCCTTGTACCAGCTCGACGTTCCCATTGCCATTTATTGCTCATTCATTGCCGTTCTCACTTACGACGAAGAACTATCAAAGCTCATAGCCTCTGTGGAGGGCAGAGAAACACTGGTCAGAGACCTGCCGAACCGTATTTCAGCAAAGCTGCAGGTGGGAAAGTCGCGTTCCAAAACTCGCGTTTTGGAACTCTTAGATGCCCTTCGGCTTCTTGGCCTTGTGACTCCTTACGAACCATCCACGGATGACAACGCAGATTTCACATGTGCACTCTCTGATGGCCGGACAGTTGCACTCAAAGCAGCCTCTTTGACGGGTGGCGGGTATCCGCACCATCTGCCGCACCCCAATATTGGCGCTTCAATGAAACAGCACCGTTACATCTATGGGCTCTTTCGAATTCTTCCCCGCCTTACTGGAGGCATGTCTCTGCGAAATCCCGCTGCGATGGTGTAGCCTTCTGGGACGAGCTGCATAAAGTCAGTCGAGATGTTGCATACGCACGAAGCACCGTTTGTCCAACGCACGGCACTTTGGGACCTCCAGCAAACACACCTCTTCTGCGGTTCCTTCGCCGGAGAGTATCTTGGGACTTGGAATACCGCTTAACCTGGCACCAGAAGCGTTTATCTAGATCAATCTGTAGACAGCGCCACGGCCCACAGTCCACTTGACGAAGAGGATAGTGACTTACAGCTGCAGCAGATTTGTCATGTTCTTAGCGCTCCACGCGCGCCTGTTGTCGCCTACCTCAAAGACGCTGCTGAAAGGGTTTTGCGTGAAATAAAGAAGGCACGGGCGAGGCAGAAAACGAGACGAAGCGGAGCATTGTACGATGCAAAACATCGAAGCCAAAACCATGCTTCAAAAGAAGGCCAAAGAAGCGAAGCTTCAGAGGGAAAGCGACTGGGAAGCTTTGCTTCAGCGCGTGCATCCCGGGCCTCTTAAGGGCACCATTGGCATCCGAATTCTAGCTGTTCGCAATCGCTTTGTACAATCCAGCTCAATCAGAGATACGGATCGATGGCAAAGTGAAATTGAAAACGCCGTCCGGGAGGCTCGACTGGCTTCCAACAAGGTCATCGCAAGGCCGAAAGCGCTTGCGGTTCCGCGCATAGCTTTTACCTCCTGTTGCAGCCAATCCTCCTGAGAAATCGGTGCATTTTCTCATAGCTCAACAAGGACCACCTATTCTCGCGCAACAAATCGGAAAATCGAGAGGAAAGACCAAGACCAATGAAGGCTAGTTTTGTTCATTCGCCTTGCTGCGCATTCAGACGTAACCGCCCTTTGTAGACCAATCAGAGAATAAGACATCACGCCAGAGGCGCTCTAGATTCCACTGGACTCGAGAATACGATGAGCTTGCCCGTGATGCATCTGCTATAATTCGTGCCCGATGTCGCGGTGGGGTCAAGATCGATCTTTCAGCTTTCGACCAGGTATTTCCTGCTGTGCCACGTAATTCTGTCCGCCTCCGCCTCTCGCACCTCCGAGAGAATACTGGTGAAGAAGTGTATATGAGGCGCCTCGAGGACCGATGGCATGAGCTTTGGGTTCAACATAGGGGTACCGAGCACCTTCCCGACGAAGATCCTCAAAGCCCATCGAACTTTGACATCGTAAATCATATAGAGTTTCTTCGAAAGCATGTTGATAAGAACGCCTTGCAAGTTTACTTTCAACTGTTTAATCCATGCAGATGCTGACCACAATTAGGAGAGTTGGTTACGTTTGAGCATACAACTCGGACGAAGCTACCAGCATCAGTGGATGACATCATACATCGTTTCGATGTGCTTTGCAACACAACTATTTCTCCTGCTTGGGAATTTGTGTGGCAAGCTACCGTCGAAGAAGGTCGAGAGAAACAGTTTCTCCGACAGTCTTTCACTCATGGAGCAGACGAAGTTCCATATGTCACAAACATAAGTGATGATGTAGTTCAAGTCGCGGAAGCTGCGCTAAAGGTGGCGGTTGTTCGTTTGACCTTTCCACTTCGCTTCTTACTACCTTTGCGCCGTTCTACAGATGGTTTTTTGGCATGTCAACCGAGCATTACGACGCTGATTTGGCAGCGGAATTGCTCCACAGTGCAGGTGATCAGTCTGTATCCCTCGCAACCTCCAATCTTTTGCGGCGCGGAGTCCTGTCAAGGGTGGTTCGTGATCCCAAAAAGATGAAGCCGGGACGTACATTGAAAATATCAGACGTGTGAGCAAAGTCATTCATTGGCAATTCTACTAATTGACACAATTGTAGCAACCTAAACGCCATCGGAGGCTTGATTCATGGAGACTTATTCCAAGACGCTGTCGCTCTGGATGAGGTATTTGCAGAGCAAGTTGGCATCCTGGAATGGCCTTTGTTAGCTTCTGATGGTGACACCGCAGCACTACTCCAGCTGGTGTCAGAGGAGCAGGGTACGTCGATAACTAGACTGCATGGTAGAAGTGTTGCACCCGACAAGGACACAAAGGTCAATTCATCATAGATACGGCACAGTTGCGAAACGCTCGAACAAGGCTTGACTGGAACAGCAAAAAAAGCAGGTCCGTGCGGTGCCTCAGTTGCAGTTCCTTCCTTCTCACAGAGAATAGATTGACGATGATATCGAGACTAGCATACAAGTCCGCTTAAATGCAGTCGACAACGGAGACGATAATGAGGGCAATGGAGGTGCGATGTTTGCCTTCATACGAGTCGCGCTTGGACCCTACGAACACACCACTGGATGAGAGCATGCAACGTGAACATGGAAAAACGGTGACTGGAACTGACGCCGCTTGCGCTAAGAAGACGCAATCAAAATCGTAAATTGCGTACTATGCACCGAGTCGACGTTTTCCGAGTTTATCGCTGGTCTGGATTGCGAACAACGAAAACTGGCTCAAGATATTTTGATCGAGCTAATGCGTCATCAGAATCAGGTTCATCAAAGTCGCACTACCTAGTATGTTTTCTATTTGGGCATCATTCGCCAACTCGCTGATCTTCTTGTACTTCGAGGCTTTTGGTGCTGGTGATGTGGTTATGGACCTGTTACAACGAATGTCCCAAACATCCCCACCCCTCATTTTGTGGGTTGGATACTCTGCGCCAGTCATCGTTTCCTGCCTTCATGCTCGTTCTTGGACAGTGGAGATCATTAGGGAACCAAAAGCTCTTGCCTTACCTCGACGTTGGCTAGATATCCGTGGTGAAACAATACAAGAGACCTGGGACGCTGCTTTACATGCTGTGGTGTGGCATCGTTTTTTTTCATCCAGGTATTTCTCAGGTGAGTGTTTTTGACAAATTTATTTGTGTGCCTGATCTCAATCCGATAGACCGAGCTGCGGTGGAGGCTTAGGGCAGTATGTGACCGACAGGAACTCGTAGACATCGTATGCTTCTTGTACCGTGAAGAAGCTGTTTACGCACGAGTCAGTACAGAATGCCCGACTGGCACTGCCTGGCCGGCAACATTAGACGATGGGGAGGAACAGCAGGTTTTTCTGGTTCCTTGGCAAGAATAAGTATTGGTATCAAGTCTAAATCCAATCACGTTCATCGGATGCCGCAATAACTATAATGCCACGCTCGTGTAAAGTGTTATGACATATAGATCAAAGACATTCTACGATGTTTTTTTGACTGCTCTCGTGAGGCCATCCACGCACCTGGAGTCTCGTTACCCGTGACCAAGGCCTGAAGTGTGCATATTCTATTCCTACTCGCCATACCTATATCATATCATACCTCAACTCTCATGTACAAAAAGTCACATTAATGACGACCATGGACTTCAGAGAGGTGACCCACAGTGACGTGAAGAGTGTTACAGTTTATTTCTCGTATATTAGTGCTCGGAGTACAACATATACACTAAGGCGTTGTGTCGTGGTATTCATATGCAATGAGGGTATACAGAATTTGCGGGGATGACAAGTTGACACGTGCAGCAGGCGTCAGGCATTTTTCAGGACTCTGATGGAGGCACTCCAAGAGGTGCCTTCGATATTCCAGAATGTCGAAAGGTAGATCTGATGGAACGAATACCCGTCTTGGCCTCCCACTTTCCACTCGAAAAGTGACCTCTGAGTGAAACGACCGTTATCGCATTGCTGAACAGTGTATGAACGAAAAATTTACAAGGGAAGAATATGTGCACATACGCTGAAAAACCCGAAAAAGTGATATGCAATTTGACGCGCGAGATCAGCCCTTGTGATGGGCGCTTCATTGGTCCCGATATTGATAGGGTACTCCACTGTGTCGTATCCGGGCCACTAGCACTGAACTTAGACTTCGCAATCGGTCGAGGGTGCAAGCACTCACAGCTATAACGAGCTTGAAAGTCTGGACCTGAGTACGGTCGACTGTCGGGAACATAATTTCTTGGGCGTCTTTCAAATGTAGTCCCACCGCCAGGCTGAAGACACTCCTCCAAAGAAATGCTCAGACTATTCCTTTCTGCATTCGCCTGGAACATAACAATCGAAGAGCCGTCTCTGTTATACTGCGGAATGTTCATCGGGACAAACATCTCCACACTGTTAGAGGTACTACCAGAAGACTGGGTGGAAGGATTCTGATCTTCGTCAATCATAACGACAAAATTAACTATGCAGATACAACTCACCGAAGCTGAAGAGATGGGCATATCAAACAACGTCTGTCTGCTTAATTGGTGGGGATGCCACAACTTGTGTATGCCCAACGTGTGGTTATACATGGCATAGGGAAAACGTCTGTGACCGCTATTCTGCTGTAGGTGGGGACATATTGGTAGATCTGGATGGATCGTCGAGCTGGGAGTGAGTTACCAACATCCAAGTTTGCTTATAACCTCACAGTCCACAGGTCAAAGAGCTCTTAGACAGCTATTTGCCCACAGTCCCAAGCGCCATTAATCTGAACCCAGGATGTTTAGGCCAGTTAAATCACGGAAATGGGGGGACGAGGGTTCATTGTACTCCCGGTGCACTTTATGTTCCTCGGAGATGGATGAGGTAAAATGACATTGAACAGGACACAGGACCCACCACCGTGGCTGGCATGTGAGCATGGTGGCAAAGCTCAATGATTGCACAAAGCCGATCCCGTCAACTGTTACACAAAGCACGCCACGAAGTGTCTTGGCCTTGTACGTGGACTCGGACTCTGTCCAAGCACTCAAGAGCACTGTCTCACTTCGGAAACACGGGAGTTAGTTGTTGAGAGAACTTGTAGGTACAAGCACCTGTTCCCATACTGGCAACTAAAGACTCGCCTAGAGGCTAGTCGTCACGGTTGTGATGTACTCTTGAAGACGTGACTTGAAGACATTAGTGTCCCGGGTGAGATAAAGCTGGAGGACAGATTCTTACCTCACGGATAAGATCAGGCTGCTCGAACTTCCAACACATGAAATCTCCGCCGGCCAGTTATGCATTGAGGCAAAATGACATGGCTTACATGACTTGGTATCTCAAAGCCAGCACGCTCCCGACTCATCAACCCGAATCTTTCGGACCTGTGCTGCACATTGTAGTCTCGACCCTCGAGTAGCGACAAGTTTAAATTCGCCATGTGAACACCTCGCGATTGAACATCTTGCTTGAAAATGTTTAATGAGACGTATTAAAAATCAAGAAATGCTTAATGCAAAGACAACCCTGGGCCGTCGAGGGAGAAGTTGCGGAGATTGAAGCTGTGTAATTATCTCTGAGGTCACGTAGACTTGGTCTATCTCGGGTAGGTCCACCTGGCATAAGCTCAACGAATCCTCATCTGATATTCCAAATTGACGACATGGTGCTGAGAACATTGATTGTTTTCAACGACTCCAATACCCATGGAAACCGACTTTTGTCCTCTGTCTGCAATTGTATGATAACAAGTGATGACAATTATTGTACTCGCTCCCGGGACCCTTCACGGTCACGGCTTCGACTTAAAAGGTGCGAGTTGTTCAAGTTCCTAGTACCTTTCAAGGTTTGTCCGTGAGCGCCTCTCTGGACCCACACTGTATCAAAGAGACGTGTTTTTTGTATTTTCACGAGCACGTGCCAGGTGTGGTGACCGCGTCGACTCGGATTCCGAGGAGCACAAGGATTGCGCAAGGTATAAGACTTGAAGTTGGAGCAGACTCTGATAGCATTGTATCCCTCCAGCTAATTCTGTCAATGCCAATCTCACAGCCCCTGCAAAAAACCTTCTCTCCTCTCCCAGATAGGGGCTTCGTATCGATGATCCTCCGCATCATGTGGGGCCGAGTCAAAGGAGTCCTCATTCCAAACAAAGAGAAGGGACTCGTCTCGGGCCTTGGGAAATAATAGTGACGGGAAACAGACCTCGGGGTAACAACAGGTCACGCTGATCGTCACCCCCCAAACCAAGCAGGTAGTAGGACTTTGATTTTAGGGAAAAAATCGATCTCATTGAATCTTTGGGTGTAGCACGTGCCGGACTCATCCTTCGTCGATCGTGTACCTGCTATTCGCCAACCGACGGCTTTTTTCACCGGGCGCAGTCATCCAAGAGTGGAACAACCATGCATATGGCATCTTAGCGACTGTGTCCATCTCCGGATCTCCCGCTGGGTCCGATACAAAGTCCATGTCCGTTGAAGATGGGTCGCTGGAATCTAGGCGGTTCAGGAAAAGGAGCTCCAGAATGTCTGTTGATCCTTCCCCATTGACAGGCGACTATCGCAAGGCTTCGTCACAGATGTCGATTGATCCATCTTCTTCCGAATGTTAATCAAGGCGCTCAGCGTAAGGCTTCATCCCGCATGTCGATTGACGTTCCTTCTACCCGTCGGAGCCGGGGGTCATCAGACCGGATGCTGATTGACGAGATCCAGCATCATTATCCCACACAGAACCTCCCACAACAGGTGTACAGTCACTGTGACCCTTCATTTACTACTCGCCCGACTGTCTCGCCGACCATGACATGTTCTCGAAATCCACATTTCCAACGAGAACGTACGCTCGCGTCCAGCGCTTTGCCTCCCACATCCTTTTCATTGCAACGTATCTCTCCATCGCATGATAGAGGTTCCCCTCGCGGAGAAGCTAATTCGGCGTCGTCGCAATCATTATCTCTGCAACATGGGCGCGACAAGAAAAATCAAGTCCTCTCCCCAATAACATCCCCTTCTCGCCCATGCATATCACAACCGCCTCCTAGCATGATCCCCAGCTCCCTTGCACGCCCTCCGGGTCGCTCAGGATTCTCACCAGCTGCACCTCCCGGAACATTCTCCCCAAAACATGGGACTCCGGCTTCAAGGCAGGGGAATGGATCGCCTTCCACGAGTCCAGATGCTATCATCGTCTATCCCCTACCAGCAGGAGTCGTGTTCGTGCGCGAGGATCATCCTCAGGAGACGATGCCAATTACAAGCGTCGTTGTGTCCGACAAGATAGCCAACCTATTGCTCTTCTCTCCATTGATTCTCGTTCAGCATGTGGCACATCTCCCCAGTCAACTCAGTCGCTCTCCCCTATCAATGAGGTTTGGCTCCCGCCTATGGAGAAGCAGTTGGAAATGGCCCGCAAGTCACAGGTGAAAGCCAGGTTCAGAAAATTTAAAGCTATCATTGGCGGGGCTGTCAACGAAATCAGGGAGGTAATTGTGCCTTATCATAAGGACCATCGAAAGCGTAAAGTCGCACGCACGAATACCAACTCAGAACCTTTCTCTGAAGTTCCCGACTACCTGCGATCTCTAGAGCGTTGTAACCCACCCCAAACCACACACACATCCCGGTCTCAACCACGCACATCATTTGACATTAGGAAGGATGTTGACCACATCACTCAAACGTGGACGAAGCTCGCGCTGTGCGATTCTCCAACGGCATTGCGAGGGGATGACGTGCTCCTTCAGGGCGAAGTACCCCATCTTTCTTTATCTCCCCCAAGAATCAACGAGCCTCCCATGAGCAAAGCAGATCACCACCTGTTCGTAGAGCTGCAGGTCTTGGCGCGGTCATGCCGTTCCAGAGTGATGAAGTCGAGATATCATGGGAGATGCTGCGAACTTGGCCGCTCCCACATTTCGCCGACGCAGGACTGCCGATGCCTTCGATTCAACAGATCATACCTCGACTCCCTAACAATTATCTCCTCCATCACAGGTGAAGAGAGTTGACGAAGATATGATACACGAATCTATACGAACCTACACAGCGCACACGGTACGGATGCCACGAGGGGACATTTATGCTCACGTTAAGTTTAAAATGTTACGAACCATAATAATCTTTGACTTCTAACGAACTTTTGACCTCATACGCACTTGTACGCTACACGATAGACGTAGACCACGAATTCATGATTGACTGATTGACAGGCAAAATCGAGCGACGATCAGGATTTAGATGTTGAAACTCCCGGAAGATTTTTCGGGCCGCTAGCAGGATTAAAATATACCGGCACCGAGTACAATACAACAATTCCAAGGATCGCAAAATCTGTACGATCAAAACATGCCCATACCATCTTCATCACCATCGCCCCATCCACTGGCGATGACTTCTTCTTCTTGTGGACGGGGGGAGGGACGGCGTCCTGGAGACGGTGAAGTACTCCGCGTATCGTCTGGGTGAACCTCTTTTGTGATGGCAGGTTGCGATGATGGTGCGGTGACGTCTTGTGGTTTTGCTTGTGATTGCTGGGCACTGTACCATGAAATCTTCACTGGGCCTACTGCAGCAACAGTTGATCCTTTGGCAAAACCCTGGCCAAATAGTGAGCACAAACAACATACGATAGGGCATTTCTTGACCAACCTGCTCAGCAGCTGCTCTTGTCTTGAAACTGACAAGAACTTCATCATCGCCAATGCTCTCTGTTGAGTCGAGCTGACCGGTGGTCTATTGTCAATGAGCCACGCATCCAGAAACGAAGAAATCTCAACATACTTCATACCAATCCCGCAATGCTTGCAGGCTGTCTTCGCGAACACCCTTCACCAACAGCTTCCTTGGGCGGTTGTCGAGTTTCATGCTCGCCCTAGGAGGACCACCTCGCGGTGCTCCGCGGTAGAAGGCGCCACGTGCCCCGCGACCGCGACCTCTGTATCCACGATACGGTGCACCATACGAGACTTCAGGACTGGTCTCCGGTATTCCAAGACTTGCTGCCTCCTCCCTCAATTTTGCGAGTTTAGCCTTAAGTTCCTCCGTAGACTCCCCAACGGCATGCAACTCAAGCTCCTTATCCAACCTTTCTCTCTCCTTTTTCTCGTGATCGTTCTGAGTAGTCAAGACAGGTGCAGGCGAATGGACCTTGGCGGGAGTAGCCGACGGTGGTGACGGTATCGTCATCTCTTCTCCCAATTTCCGTAATCTTGCTAGAATCACTTTCTTCTCCTCGGGAGAAGAGGTCTCTAATGAGTTCACTAAAGACTTCTGCTCCGCTATCTGTTGCTCCAGCAGCTTCTGCTTCGCTGCGAGCTCTGACACGGCAGGAGACTGAAGGGACGGTTTACGGGCGGGAGTCATGGTGGGCGGCGCAGGAGGCTGGGATGGTGCAGAAGGCATGGGGGTCTCACGCGAAGCCAGGTTGGCTAGTAGTGGCGCGGAGGCCGCTAACATTCGCGATCCTGTTTGCCCATGTCCTTCCATGGGCCGATGCCAAAAGACCTTCACAAACCGATTTCCGAACACGGCATCTTCCGATTTCCATGCAGCATGAGCCTCAGTGTGTTCAGCGAAACTCACGAGCGCCTGGCGCTGCGAACATCGATCGCAACGTTGGTGACTGTCCCGAAGCGCTTGAACCAACTATTGACAGCGTCGAGGCTAAGCTTGTCCTCTGGAATCTTTTCCACCACAAGTGTTTTATCTTGTCGTCGTTCTGGACGGAAGGTCTGCGCGTCACCACCAAATATGCCTCGCCCACGAGGTGCACCCCTCACTCCCCCTCCAAACCCACCACGCGTGTTGTACGTCGATGGCCCTGGTACACTTGGAATACCCATCTCCACATCCATGTTGAACTGGTTGCTGCTGCATAAGTGTAGAACTCTGCGGAATGAAATCTCCTGCTGGTAAGGCCGGCGTTGCATGTTCTGGAGGCGGCTGAGGAGTTAGGTCTTGTATGACCGGAAGTTCGCCAGACCTATCCACCGCGTGAGAAACTTGACTACCGTCCTCTTGCTGAGCCCTGGAGAGTAGAGGAGCACGTTGCGTTCCACGACTCTGGCCAATGCCGGCGCCATTCGGACGCATATCCATCCGTGCCTCATGAGGATCATAGGGGGCACCTTGAGCCATGCCAAAAGGCATTCCACCAAATTGGTAAGAATGGTACAGCAGAAAACATTTGCGATGGGACGAAAGCATCTTCGCCGTGACTATACTTGCATAATGAACCACGAGCACAATATCCATTATCTGTAAGGATATGTGAGCAGTTTCTTTAAATCGTTACGAAAGAGCAAGCGCACTATGATAATCACGACATATTCCTTTTCTTTGGTCTGGGGGCTGATAATTTTGTGGTCGTCGGGTGGTCGTATTTTGATTGTTCCCATTCATGCCACTGCCCACTGTACCATTCACATCATCCCTTGACCACCAGGCCTATTTTGGCCACCACTCCATGCACCGGTGGAGCGAGAGTCACGACCGTTGGGATACCGTGAAAATTGGCCTTCTGCATTTAACCGAGCACCTTTCGTAGGCGGGCGCCCGTCACGTTCATCATGTTCCAGCGATCGCTTCTGCCCTCTTTCCGTCGGCGAATGATTAGATATGAGACCATCCAGAGGTATAGGAATCCCAGTATCTGCGGACTGTGAATGTGAAGGCAACGCGAGGAGCTGTTGGGTCGCTGGCCGTGTACGGAAGATACGTCTTAGTTCTGAGAACAGTGAATAATGTATCTATAAATGAGGGTCCCTCTGGGTACCGAATTGAGAACGAGACGCATAGATTGCACCGAAATAATACGCACCTTTCTCTAAAAACTCTTCCAGCTGGGAGCTGAGCTCCTTTCTCATCTCATTTTCCGGGACATTGTGCTTTAACAAAGCGAGAATGTATTCAGCAAGTGCCCCTGGCTCGGCGTCACATCTAAATATGCCAATCGTTGTCAGAGACGATGAAGACCGAGTATCTGGTAATACGCACATTGGCTCCAGAGTTCGGACCAACCAGGGCTTTAGATGAGTTACAGTGGTCGGGTCGTAAAGCATTTTTACTGGAGAAAAGGGAGAAAATAAGAGTTAAACGACCAGCCTGTGTATCTTGGGTTATCGAGGACGTAAAAAAATTATGGATGAAAGAAGTATAATGGACTACCAGACCGATGCAAGTAAATGCTCAGGTGCTCTGCTTGAGGCAACTGCCAAGGATGATGATTAGTTTGCCCTTGACTTATGACTAAGCTATAAGGTCAACGCCCTCTTAGTCAGCCCCTCTGTAGTTCAAGTGATCATGATGGATGCAGTGCTTGCCAGCGTCCACCAATGGATCGCTGCTGCTCGATAGCTAAGCGCTGAAACTCGATAACCACACTTCGTACGATCCTCGTCAAGGTACTCAACAAGTCACGCCAAATCAGTACAACCATTGCTTCTCAGCTTGAGCGTCTGAATGACATTCAAGATTCAATCATTGGGCTTGAATGGACGGATATGCATTGACATCAAAAAGACGATATTGTCACACAGCCCTGCAAGATATACCCCGTGACGATGATGTCTTCAAAACCAAATCATGCCCGCAGTTAAAGCCCAGCTGCGCAGCTGGAATATCTATGAACGTAAGTTGAGCTCTAGCCAAGCCCTAGCCCTGATCTATATAAACTAGTGTATCATCTCTACGGGAGCTTCCCATTTAAGAGGCCACCTGTCGTACTCGTTCAGGTTATCTGTCGACAGCAGACGGAAATCCACTCAATACAGATGATACGGGTTGCAGGCATGTTTGACCGATTCCTGCTACTGAGGCCAATGTGATTTATGAGGATTACTTGTGGGAGACAGTGCGAATGCCAAGGCCTCCCGTACAGCATGTGCGGTCACAGTAATAGTCCCGCTTCCTGCCCCACCATTGTCGTCAACAGCAAATGCACTGCAGAGTGAGGATGATGGCTTGGAGCTAGTTCCGCCGACTGTTACGGCGTGCATGATCAGGAGCAACCTTGCGTCACAAGCTATATCCGCCTGGTTGGCCGCTAGTAGCCTCACACATTACATTTATATCCGAGATGCGGATCAAGACGTAACCAGCACGCTCTCCGCGTTGTCTGATCAAGTCGGTCAATTACGTGGCACCACGAGCATGATGATTCGTGTGCAATGTGCTGTCCATCAGGTCATCGAAACTGGTGGAACATGAAGGCTGAAGAACAGAGAGCATGGTTCCGATACAGATGGTGCCTCGGAGGGCTTCCACTGCCAGCGGTTTGGATCCGATGAAGGCCTGCCAACCTGGCCGGTGCCCTCGAATGTGTTGGCACAATCAATATGTAACTCCGGCAATTTAATGTTCTTCTAGCGGTCTGTTCCTGATAATACCTACTGATGACAGAAAAGAACCAGAGACCTAGACAATGAAAGTCAGAGGCTGGCACATAAGGATATCATAGTAACCTTCAGCGTTACAACTAGCTGATTCTGCTGCCATCTTATGATCGCCACGAGAGAACTCTAGATTATAGTAAAAAGCACAGATAGATCTCCTGTTTGTAGATGAACGATAGCCGCACTACTGCGCCACCACGTAGTTCCAGTCGCTCTTGATAGCCCCCGTCTGAATACCCACCAGCTCTGTCCAAAGAGGCTTCGAGACGGGCCCCATACCGTCCTTACCAGTAGGAATCACGACATCACCTCCGTTGTACCCAATTCTGTCCACAGGGGTGACAACAGCAGCCGTGCCAGTACCAAATAATTCGACAAGTCGACCTTCCTTTGAGGATTGGATAATCTCGCCCATGTTAATTGGACGTTCCGAGACCTT